AAAACACTTTTAGCAAAATTGTACTTTTCTCACGAAGAAAAATACGACAAGCAAAAGGCATTTAATTGCCTTCGAACTTCCAACTTTCGTTCTTGATTAATAAAAATGAAAATTTTTCATTTTTGCACTTAAAGGAGGGAAGAAATGAAATCTTTTGAGGATATTTTAGTAAAATGTTTCTTTTACTTTAAACGAATAATTAGAAAGGCAGTAAATTTATACTAATTTACGATTCTGAATTTTTCAATTAAAAATTAAAAAGAAGGAATTAAAAATTTTTTAAATTGAGATTTAGAATTCTTTTCTCAACAAAAATCGAACATCTAGGGATCAAAATTTACCTTTGAATAATTAGTCGTGACTCAAGGCACTAGAGATTCTTTTTCTTTTTTCGAGAGTTCTGGTATAAAACACTTGAAAATGCAGCACTTCCTTTCAGAAAGGAAGTGTGTGACGAAATTTCTTTTGTATGCCGAGTAAAGTAACTGGAATTCAGAATATAAAACGTAAAATATCTATTTGTATTTTATGTTAAATAATATTCACAAATATTTCTTTAATAATTTCGTAATTTTTACGTACTTTGCCAATCGGAAATATTATTAATCTTTGAAAAAAAAACTTTCGATGTATTAATTTCAAAATCTAGTCTATAGAAACGTTATAAATTGTATCAGTTTTTGATTTTGTAAAAACTTTTTATAAAAATTGTAAATTTGGCTGATAAGTATTGGGCATTAGTATTGTAAAACAAAACTCTTTCGTTTGGAAACTATTTGGAAGACTTCTTTTTAAAGTTGTGAATTTCCTGGTTCATTAGAATTCAGAAGACGATTCTGAATAACACTTTAGTTTTCCTGTTTTATTAACAGACTTAATCAAGTCTGAACCAAATTCTTTTCAATTCTAAACAAGTTTGGTGGAACGTGACAATAATACGACAAATTCGTTAAAAAAAATTTGAATTGTCATAATTGTTTAAAAATTTGAAAGTTGATGTTACAAAAATAAAAAATTGTAATTACTGAAGACTATAGAAAAAAGTCACTGATTCATTTTCGGATGAAACGACCAGCAAGCTTTGTTTGACCCTGTCAAACGAAAATGATTGTGATCTTTCTAAATAGTGAGCAAATAGTTTCTATTTGGCTTTGCAAAGTTCCGAAACATTCTAAAAATATGCCTTTTATATTTTGCCCAAATCTCTCTCATGAAAAGCTCTTGTAATCTGTTTTTTTTTTCTCTAGAAATGTCATGAAAAATTCATTGGATTTTCTTTTTTTTCGAAATTTTAAAACAAATGGAAAATAAAAAGCTAAAATGTTTAATAATCCGAAAAAATCGAAAAAGATTTTTAGAGGTACTTGAAAGGTGGGAGATTTTGAGAAAGGGACGAAAAGAGATAGCAATGAGACAAGAACAGATACAAAATTTATGATTTTGGGTTTTTTGCTAAAATATTTAGTCCTGTGCTTTACAACTTAATCCCATCGATAGAAATACATTAAGTTTATTGCAGGGGGCGGAGGTAAAAATTTGGTTTCTCATACCTCTTTTGTATTTCAACGAACTGTTATTGCAATGGATTAGAAAAATTATTTTTCTGCTTTTATATTCTTAACTATTTCCCTAAAATCTGTTACAATAAAAGGTCATTTTAAGGCCTAAAAACTTAAGAATTTTACACGTTTCTTAAAACTATTGTCAAAAAGACAAAATTCTTTCTTTTCAAAAAAAAAACCTTATGTTCTTTTTTACTTGGTTTTGATAGGAACATTTTTATGTTATTTATTTTGGAAAGAGGAACAAATGCTTCTTCTTGATGTAAAGAAGAATTTGCTAAAGAGAAGCATTCAACTTATATTATTAGGATTTCGAAAATTTAGTAATGGGAAGCTTTTCGAAAGATGTAATAAAAAAGTCAGAGAATTGATCTTTGGTAATTTGTTAGGCACCCTGATACAATTTTCCCAAATTGTACTACAACTAATAGGGACACAACCGAGGACACAACCAATAGAACATATAAAATGTCTGATATCAAATGTTTTTGATAGAAAATGTTTCTTATGGAAAATTGATGAAAGTTCAGATAGATTAGAAGTGGCCTTGACGGTCTTTTTTATTAGAGCTTCGAATAATGAACGTGTTCTAAATCTAAGGTGTTAATGGCCTAAAACCGTCACGAAGCTCTGTAAAGGTTTAGAAGGAGCGAGTTCTTTTTATTCACAGAGAGAAAAGAGGAGAGAGAGAGTAGGGCCAACCTTGGTTGACAAGGGTCAGTAGTCGTCGATGATGGTTAACAAGTGCAAAGCTTCCAGGGAAGAAAAAAAGTAATATGTTGTAGGCACATTATCGACCAGGGTGTATATTGTTGATACTAACGGTAGTCAAGGTAACTTAAGCTGTTTAGCCAATTGCAATCGTTGTAGTGGCCGTTGTTGGCCAATCCTCCGCAAGGGATGATGTCGGTTTTTTGATTGGGCGATTCATGAGATAAGAAGCCAGTTTGAGGCCATTGGAAGCCACTAACAACCACGACATTAAGTGGAGAACACTTCGGGTTCTCTTTGAGAAATATTAGTTACGTGCATCCGAGGGTTCCCCTATGGTCCTCTTGGAACTTCACAACCGGATATCGTGGTGGCCGCGACGTACCTTTAAGTAAGCCACTTTTCTCGTTTCTTTTTCATTTTTTTTTTACTTGTTCTAAAAAAAAGAGAGAAAATTGAATAGAAATCATCACATTGCACCAAATTTTTTTTTCGGATTTGTGTAACCTCGTGTCGTAGTATTAGGAATATTAGTTACTTTGACGGGGTCCTAGTGAAAAAATAGTCTTGTGAAAGTCCTCCAACTGTTAACAATTTTTAACAATTGTTGACAATTCTAAACAATTTCTGTTTTGAAAAGTCCTTTTTTTTTAATTAAACGTCGCGATTCGCTTTTAAGCTGGTTTTTCATCAAGAATTGAGTGTGCTGGCGTTATATACACGTTCGTCGCGATTCAGTCAATCTCCCAATGGTGAAGATTACCTGATCATCAATTTTAATATGAGGTAGTTAGTTATTTATTTTGTCTTCTTTGATATACCTATTAAAAATTTGATGTACTAATTAAAACCAATTTTTTTTCCATTGCACATTTCACACTATTTGTCTCATTTCTTTTGAATCGAAATTGTTCCCTTGTAATAGTGACGAAAATTTCACTCGCACTCGAACAAAATTGAAAAACTCGTTTATTTTTTCCAGTTGTAAATTCTCCAGTTGAAAAAGGTGATTTAAAATAAAAGTTTCATTTTAATAGTATTTTAAAGAAGGGAGTTGAATTGGTAAAATGTAACTGTTTGAATATTTGGATTTTAAGTTTGAAACTAATTGCAAAAGATAAATTATTGAGAGATTCGTGGAGTCACTTTGGAGAGGAACTTGTCATTTCATCTCTAATTACAGTGGCTCAATTTTTCACTTGAAAAAAAAAAAGTGAAATCTTAATGGAATTTAGAAAGTATGCCTTTCGAGTAATTTTTAACCGTTTAGACTATTATGGCAATTTCGGTTATTTAAACAATTTGAATTTTTAAATTGTTTTTTTAAAGTCATTTTTTTTAACCATTTCTAAGACAATTTGTAACTATTTTTAAACCATTTCTGGACAATTTGTAACCATTTTTAAACCATTTCTAGAAAATTTGTAAGCAATTTAGAAAAAATTGTTCGAAATATGAAAGTTTCTGTTATTTCCATTTTTATTTGCTTTGAATCATTTATAATTCGTTCGATAACTAATTTTGATATTATTTTTTAATTTTTGGTAATGTGTTTAAATTTTCTATCGTTGATAATAAAATTTCTATAATTTATTAAACCTGCGAATAATTTATTCTTGTTTACAATTTTCTTCTGTTTTTTTAAAATTATTCTTTTCTTCCAGTAATTATTGCTAAAAAGTAAATCACACTTTTAATTAAACGATAAATTTTGTTTTCTTTTAAATTTTTTTTTATATTTAAATTTTTCTCAAATGAATATTTAGATTATTGAAAGAATTTACTTAGAAAATTTCGGCTTTTTTCAAAGTCTCAGTAATTTAGTTATTGTTCTGCTTTTGTATAAACGGATATAGCATTTTTAGGGTTGGTTAAACATATCCTAATTTAAAGTTAATTAGTAATTATTGCCTGTTTTAAGAGCTCGTGATTTGTCGATTTGATTTAATCGTTGATTAACTTTTAACCGGTTAGTGAAACCGGTTTTGTGTTTGTTTTAGATGTTCGTTTATATAAGAAAGTATTTTATTTTAAAAGTTATGAAATATTTAATTGAAAGGAAGATAATTTCAAAAATTGAATTAATAAATTCATTTAGAAGTTGATTTTTACCTTTTTTGTATATTTAATTTTTTTCTTTGGATTTTTTTTTCTTTTTTTTGGGTTCTATTTTTAGGATTATTAGGTATAGGAGATTCGTAAAATATGTGTACGAATTCTACTCACAGAAAGATAAAATGTTATGTAGATTTTAATAAATTTAAATTGATATGCGATGTTATTTGTGCCACAGATATATTTTGCTAATATATACGAAAAAAATGTATGTTACCGTAAATTCTATTAATTTTATGTACTTTATTTAAGAGCATATTTAAACATTCTTTTGATATATAGAGTATTTTATGTATATTTTGACAAACAAACGAAAATCCAATCAATGTATTTATTCTGGAGAAATATCTTGATATATTTTCATTTTAATGCGTAGGTAAATATGCATATCTACTAAATTTTTATTTTTTTTCCTTCTTTGAAATGGAAAAAATTTTTAAATATAGAAAATTGAATATAAAATTTAAATAATTTAGATAAGTTATGTAAACTAATAAAAAGGGTCAATTTTGCGTAGGTATTATGTGCGGTTCGCGTGTGCAAAATTTTTATTTTCTCTCACTGTTTTCATGTACATGTTAAAAATAATTTTACTTTTTTCTTTTGTTTTAGAAAGAAAGAGAATTTTCGCTAAAGGAGGCTTTTCTTCTTTTAAAACTAAAACCGATCAGTGTGGTGAGTTAAAATTTTAATTTCTATTGTTGATCTAAATTTTTTTAACGTTAGCAAATTTTGTTTATTAAATTTTATTTTAATTTTTTTTTATTAAATAAAAAGTATGAGTTTTTAATAAAAAGAAAAATGCTTTTTTCATGAAAAGCAAATAACTAAATAATATCTCTAAATATATAAATCCAGTGAAAATAAAAAGTGCTAGAAAAAAGAAATAAAAAAAATCTTTCGAACCTGTAACTTTCGTTCTTGATTAATGAAAACACTTAAGCAAAATTGCTGTTAAAATTGCTAGCAAAATTATTGTTAATTTCTGAGAGTGAAAATAATGACAATCGAGCATCTAATTCCCTTGGAATTTCAAACTTTCCTTCTTGATTAACAAAAATAGAACATTTTCATTTTTACTGTTAATAAAGAAGAGATTTAATCCTTTAAACCTCAAACTTTTGTTCGTGATGAATTATTTGATAAAACGTTTCTTATCGGCCAAGAAAAAAAGTTATGAAACAAGTGGTATTTTTAAATTTTAATCCATTATGTTTTCTATTCCAAATTTTGCACACAAGGGAAATATTATTTTTTAATAAAAAGGCCGAAATATGTTCTTCGGCCTTTTTTATAAAATAATTTAAAAAACAGTTTTAATAAAAAGCAAATATTTCTTATAAAAAATTAGACAAAAATTCCAAGTAAATAAAAGTACATTTTTTTTGTGTAATAGCAAAAATTGTAAATATTCGATTATTATTTAAAATAATAGTAAATATTTAAATACTCGAAATAATTTTAAACACCTAATTAAAATTGTTAAAAATTAAAAGAAAAGACTTTTTTTTATAATGTAAACGACTTTTTTTTATGCCCCAAAACCGCTGTGAGATCTCAAACAATTAAATTTATTTACATCATCACGTTCGCTTTAATGAACTAAAATTAAACTTTCATTCATGAATTCGAACCTGTAACTTCTCCAACCATGATACGTCCATTTTCGCTTGTAAAACTCTCCTCAGTATTGTTTCAAACTTGACTCGCAACAGATAGGTTCCCCGGATCAATAGAGTATGTTTTCTTTCAGTTATTTAAAAAAGAGGGGAAAAAAAAGAAAAATACTTCTTTACCTTATTTATCAAAAAAAAATTATTAAACTAATCCATAAATTTCTTTTCAATAAACAAAATAAAAATTTTATGTAATTATTTGTTTTACAAACGAATAGAAAATTGGATGAGGGTGGATGAATTGATATTGAAAGAGAAGGGTTTTTTAGGGTAGAGGTGGGGGGAGGGAAGTAGAGGATAAAGAGAGTGAGAGAGAGAGAGAAGGGGGGAGTACATAGTAAAGCAATTGATGAAGGCATAAGGTGAGTGTGACGCATGCGCATACTCAAAACAATAGGGGTGAATTCCACGAACTAGTTTAGTGTCCACCCGACCATCAGCTGATCAATATGACAATCTGCACGCTATTTAACTTGAATCACGCATTTCACTAATGAGCATCCGCAATTTTTTTTTTTCCTTTTTTTTCCCTCTTTGTTTGTGAGAGTGTTGCGGGAAAAGGAAATGTATTGTCAGTGCTCCCGGTGAAAGTCACAGTGGTTTAAGAGGGATAAAAGAAGAGAAGAAAAAAAAGAATTTAAAAAGATTTTGAAACTGTGCGAAAAAAGAAATTTTTATACCCGTGTTGTGTGTCTCGTTGCTAAGTCAAATTTCAAGCAAGTAGAAATTCAAGTATGTGCTTTGTTTTATTTAAACGACAAAAATTATTTTTTTTTTATTTGTGTAATTATGCAATTTGTTGGATAATAATTCACCCTTGGGAAGATGATGTAACATTAAATATAAGGGAAGATTTTTTTTTAATTTAAAAAAATTTTGTTGAAGATGAAGAAAAAATTGCAGAAAATAGCAAATTATTTTTTTTAGTTGACGATGGAAAATTATTCTATTGAAATATGTTAATTATTGATGTACTTAGTTGTTGGTTGAAAATTTCAGAATATTAGGGAATCGATATAGTAAACTCATTAAATTATTGTTTTCAATTAGTGTAGTTGTTTGAGAAACATTAGTAACTTCAATAACCGGTTTATTAATTTATGAAATCTATTAATAGTTGCTGGAAATAAAATTTATTTGAGTCAAATAAAATCGATTAACTTGTCATGAAAAAAAAACGTAATTAATATTTGGGGCAAATAACTTTTACTTAAGTCAACTAAACTTTCAAGTTCAAATATTAATTTGAAGAGGTAATTTCTGTGTTTAGTTAACATTAATATTCATTGCAACTTAATATTAATAATTAATTTCTGCTTTTTGTTAAAACTGTTTTTAATAATTTTGTGAAAAAAGCACAAAAACGTATTTTGGCCTTTCATAAAAAAAAGTTCAAATATATTAGAGGCTTTTATTACAAAATAATAATTAATAATCTTCAATAAAAATTTATTGAATGGAAAATTCTATTTTTATTAAATAAAATTTATTAATTATCAATTTAATAAACTTTATAAATTTTATCCAATAATTTATTAATAATTAAATTAAATATTTTATTAAATAATTCGTTTTTAACCATATTTATATTGAATAATAATAATAATAATTTGTAATAATATAAGTCTTCAATAATATATTTCATAATAATTGAATAACGAATTAAAATTAGTTTGGAAACTAGAATAACCATATATTTTTTCTTATGTTCCTAAAGTTCTGAATGTTCGAATAAAGGAAATTTATTTCCTCTCCAAATGAAATTTTTATTAGGAATTTTGCGTAACTGTCAAAAAAATTAATTGTAAAGTTTCCAGATGTATAATTTAAGTTTTTAACTTTTATTGCAATCAGTAATTTATGAAAACATATTTGTAATTAAAAATATTTCCTCCATTTGAACGTTGAAAACTTGTGAATAATTTTTTCTTACAAAAATATTTAAAAGTTAATATTAAAGATTTTATTCAAAGATTTAAATTTAAAAAATTAATTATTAGTGAATTAATATATATAATTGTAATAAACAAATAGAAGAATAAATTATATAAATTAAATTTAAAAGGTAAATAAATAAAAAAAAAATAGAAATAAAAATTAAAAGATTTAAAAGTTGTTTAAAAGAAATAATAAAAATTGTTTTGTAATTTTTTGATCCATATTTCTTGATTGAAAGAAGAAGAATAATTTTCATTAAAAGTATTTTCGAATAATTGTATTTATCACTTCGTTTGAATTCTCTTTTGTTTATAGTAATCGTTTTGTAAAAATTCCCGTTTGTCATGAAAACAAAGGTTCAGTTTTGATTTAATTAAATTGCTCTTAATTTAATACTTTTTTTCGTTTTGCTTTTTTAATTTCATTTTTTTTATGTCTCGACTGTATAATGTAGGAATATAAAGAAAAAAATAAAGTTATTTTAGTTTTTAATTAAATAGAAAAAAATCTGGTTAAATACCGCAAAAAAGTCAGATTGTGTCGCGTAAAGTACTTGGAATTTTTTAATAAACATTTTTTTTCTTTTTTTTTTTTGTTGTTGCTTTGAGAATATTATTGAGGGGAGTTAATTAGGAGATCAACACACAATAGTACAAGGGAGAGTCGGGATTTTTATCACGAGAACAATTGGGCACAAACTTCTTTCACCTTTTGTGAGTGAAAATAGCTTTTGTTATTAACAGAGAAGGTTTTAGAATATTTGAATTTATTATTTATTCTTTTTTTTTATTCTTTTATGCAATAAGTTTTATAACTTGTGTGTTACTAGTTTTTTGCTCTATTATTTTTATATAGTAAAAATTTTAGAATAATTTAGTAAATTAAAAAAATAAATAAAACTGAATTAGAATAAATTTCTAACTGAACAAAATAATAATTAATAATAAATAAATTTATTATAGTTAAAAAAATTAAAAAATTTCTTTTCCTCTTAAGTTGAAAATTAACTGTTGCAACTAATTTTTATGTTGATTTTTTTTAACCGAAATAATGAATAACGGTCGGTGCAATTTACGTGCTTTGAATACAATAGTTCGTAGCTTGAATACGCGTAACTTGTAAGATTTCATTGGCGGAAAAGAGAATTGAAACTTTCCTTGTAAAAACTTTATCAGAAATCTTTGTATTTTTTTTTTCTTTTTAAGATTTCGTAGCTAAAAGTATTTTTAACATGTTTTGTTTGTTCTCCTTTTTTCTCTAAAAATACTCGTGAGTTTTGTAATATATCTAGAGAGTAATTTTTTCTTTCTTAAACTATTAAAAAATTGTTCCTTTAGTTTATGGTTAACTATTAAAAATAATATGTCGATTTTTTTAAATTTAAATAATTTTTTGATTTATTGAAATTTAAATAATATTGAATAAAAATTCATATAGTTTGAAGAGAAAATATGAAATTTTGATAATGAGAAAGTCTCATTGAATTTCCAATGATCGAAAGAATTTTTTTCTCTTTCTCTCATCATCATCTCAAGTGTGTAGGAAGTGAAAAGATTGACAAAGATTTCACAGAAAATATTTCACAAGACTTGGTGGAAAACTTTGTAGAAAATTGTTTATTTATTGACTAATAAGTCAATGATTAAATTTTCGAAAAATTTTTGTTTTGAGATTTATACTTTCTATAGACGAAATTGTGTGAGGAGACTGTAATAATAATATGGAATATGAATTTTCGTTAATAGGTAGATCGTGGGTAGAAAATAATAATAATACTGATAATTATGATAATATTTAATTACTTAATTACTTTTTTTCGATAAAAATGATTAAAATGATAAATTATAGTTTTGAAATCTATTTCGAAGCATTTGAAGTTTTTCATTTTCTTTTAATTCAAGTATTGACCTACTTTTGTATATTTGCAACGTGTTCGCAGCTTTGCGCTGCTGTGTGCGATATGTGATTCGTCGCAGAGCAGAAAAATAACATTATTCTTTTTCTTTAAGGATATCATACCACCAGTTCATCTCAGAAGCTAGAGGAATTCGAGCAACATTAACGGTGAGTTTTTTTATTTAGAAAATAATTTTTTCTTTAAATAATGTTTTGTTAAAAAAAAAAAAAATTAATAAAAGTAAATTTTTCAGAACTAAATTTCAAAAGAACGATAATTATTTTTAGTTATTAAATTTTAATTTCTAGGCAGTGTAATTTATTTATAAGTAGTTTTCTCCATCTTTTTTTGAATTTGGAACAATTAAAAGAGAATTGCATTTCAAGTTAGATTTTGAAGTAAATGTACTAATTTGCAATAACACGCATGAGAACGTAAATGTAATTTTTTTCTCATTGTTTTAGCAATAATGAAGAGAGAGGCTGATGCCGGAGGTATGGCAGGTAGCGGTGGACCAATTAGTCCCCATAAACGCTACAGACAAGGAGATGATGAACTTCGTTTGCTCATCCCCAGTAAGGTAAGCCAACAATTTCCATTTTTAAGTTTTCCTTTTTTTCTTTTTTTCATAAAACCTTGAAAATAGTTCAATCGTTCAATTCAATTAAATTACTACTCAAATTTTATTAGTTTACTTTAATTAATAAAATGTAAATTTGTTCCTTTAAATATTTTCCTACTTTTGAACGTTCAAATAAAGACATTTTTTAAAACTATTTTTAAAAATTACTTTAAAAAAAGAAATTACTTTAAAATTAAATTACTTCAAAAAAAGAACAAAATTTACTTAGAACTACATTTTTTTGTAATAATAATTAATTTTATAATTTGTTTATTTAATCAATTAAAATTATTAAAAAATACTTTTTATTCAATATTTTATTAAATAATTATTAAAACATAATTACAAAATTTTTTTAAATGACAGTTTTATTTAAAAATAGTAAAAAATATCCTTTATTTGAACATTAAAAACTGGAAAAGTCTTTAAATTCAATTGGTGGAATATTTTTATTATTAAGTATAATTTTTTATTTAATTAGTAGGAATATTTTAATTTATAAATTTTTATAGTCGCCTTCAATTAAGTGAGAATTGATCTGATAGGGAAAAATTCTTGGAGGATTATTCACAATATTACGTGGAATGTTTTAGAAAGTTTTTCCGTTTTCTTTTTCTTTTTTTTTCTTATTTTTACTCAAGTGAGGCTGTGTACCCTAGTGAGTAAATAAATAAAATAACTAAAAGAGAGAGAGAGAAAAAAAAAGGAAAAATGCTTATTTTGCAAGGAGATTAACAAATCCAGGGTGTCTACTTTCACCTCGCTTCAATTGGCTATGTTGGACAGCATCGTTTGAAATCAGGAAAATCGTAAATGTGCATTCTTTCGATTGACTTCCATGTCTCATGGTGTAAGAATTATCCACGGGCATAAAAGCTACTGCTGCTGCTGTTGTCCAGTCATATAGTAACGCGTTCCATTTTCTGCATTGAAGAAAAACGCCCGGAATGCTATTGTAGTATTTTCTTCTTCGTATTCTTCAATCTTTTCTTATTATTATTCTTTATTATCCGATCTTTTCGATTGATTCTCCTCGAAGAAAGAATTCACAAATTTTTCTCTTAGCAAATAGAGAAAAATTGTCATCATCCAGTTCATAAATTAATGTCAATTTTCCGAATAAGCGAATTTTTTTTTTGAAAAATGATGTTTTCCTAAAAAAAAAATTTATTTTGGAAATTATTTTACATTGCGAGTATTTATTAAAATGAATAAATAGAAATGGAAAATATAACAAAATTGCTATGAGAAAGGAAAACAGTTTTTTATATATAAATGAAGAAGTAAAAAAAAATTGGAGTAGAAATAAAAAATAGAAGTGAAAAAATAAAAATAGAAATAAAAAAAAGTTAAGAATAAAAAATAGAAGTAAAAAAATAAAAATAGAGATAAAAAATAAAAATAGGTAAAACAATAAAAAATAGAAGTAAAAAATAAATAATAGAAAAATTTGAGATAGAAAAAAGAAAAATTGAAAATAGGAAATAAAAAGTAAAATAAAAACGAAAAAAAAGGATAGAAGAAGAAAAGAAATATTTTATTCATATGAAATACAGTAAGCCAGGAATATTTTGGAAAGAAAACACGTTTTTGCGTTTTTTTTAAAAAGTTCTCTTGAGGATGAAATCACCATTTTTGTCAGAATTTATTGTACATATATGTACATATATATAGTCGTGTGCGGTTGCATAATGAGATCATTGATCATTGTCGCAAGACGCAGCAGCATTCTATGGCTGTTGCAGTAAGACTGCATTCTTAGTCACTCCTCGTATTTACCTTTCTCAGTGATCATGAAGGTCAAACCCACTTGTTTATTCGTGCACATTAAATAGCACGTTATATCAACTTGTCGTAACTCCGATGACAATTTTGCACTAGAAAAAGCTACAAATTTTCAAATTGTTTTTCGTATTCTGTTTTATGTAATTTTTTTCTCTACGGCACACATTTCTAAATAATAGGAAAAAAATAGAATACAATTGTTAATATTTTTCTGTAATCTACGATCTTGATTCAATTTAAATTTTATTTAATGTCCAATTATAATTTTAAGAAACAATTTAATTTTTTTCTATCTGTTTAAATATTCTGGGAATATTATTTAATTCGTTGTCGTTTTAAGTAACGCGAAATTTTCTTTTTTTAGTATTTTGGATTTTGTTTTTAAATTAAGAAAGATGGAACGAATTTTTCTTTGTTGAAATTATGCGTAATTAATTGAATTGATATAAAAAGGAGTAATTACTATTATTATTAATTATTATCAATTACTATTTTTATTAATTAATTCATTATTATTACTAATTACTAATTTTATTATATTATAATGAAAAAATTGTCACTGTTTTTATAACAAAAATTTCTTCTTTTCAGGTTGCAGGTTCAATAATTGGAAAAGGAGGACAAAATATCACAAAACTTCGAAGCCAGGTTAGCTAATCAATTTTACGTCGAATTGATTATTATTCGATAATATTTGAAAACCTTTTTCTTCTACATCTATCACCTTTCAACAATTATTAAACAAAAGAGGAGATTCTGTTGTTTTTTTTTCTTTTTTTTTTCATTTGTTAATTAATAATCTTGAAAAGAAAAAATTTTTTTTTAGTAAAAATCGGTTTTTGATACAGTGATATATAAAAAGAAAACCTTTAGGTAGTAGAAATAGGAAATTATTTTCATTAGGATTCATTTATTTATTATTTTCATTCACATATAAAAGTTGACGGAAATTTGTTTTTTCATAATCTTTGAATTTTCAGTTTGGGAAAGAGAAATTTTTCATTTATTTCTCGTCGTTCAAACTTGTTTTGAAAAAAGTATTTTGATAATATTTTGATAAAAAGTTTTGATAAAATGTTTGAAAAAATGTTTGAAAAGATTCTTTTTGAGAGTAGAATATTTTTCTAATAGAGAGAAACTGGTTTAACCCTTTCTGTCAAAGGGATTATAATTTCAAAAATTATATTTTTTTATTTTTTTTAGTGTCAATGTTTTAAGGCTTGTTAGAAAACTAAAATGTTGCATTTTTTTTTAAGTAAATTTCAATTCCAAAGTTACAGTTGAAGAAAAAACGTTTTTAATTTTAAATTCTTGTTTATTAGCAAATTTATTTTTTATAACAATCTTAATTTTTGCAATCAGCGATCAATTTTTACAATCATTAGTCAATTTTTATAATTAGTTAATTTTATTATTAGTCAATTTTATTATTAGTGAATTTTAATTAGTCATTAGTTAGAAAACTTTTCGTTTAATATCGTGACTCAAAGGGTTAACAGTTTATAAAGAAAAAAAAACTTTTAAATTAATTGAATCCTATACAAATAAATATTTTCCTAACTATAAGTAGTCGAAAGTATTTGTTACTAAATCGAATTATTTTCGAAATGAACCAATTAAGATTGATACGAAACTAATAGCGAATCTAAATCAATAAAATAAATTATTTTGCATTTCAATTTTCGTAATGCAATGTCGTAATATGAGTGATTCAATAAAATGTCTTTTTAATATTCGTAAATTGAAATTTACTTTAATAATTTTTTTTTGTTTGAACATTTAAAAGATAGAAATTATTTTTACGTGAATAATTATTGTTATGTAAATGTTTATTTTAACGTTGGCGTTCGAATAATTAAAAAGAGTAATGTTCGTTCCATATTGTTTCTCATGTGTCTGATATTTTTAAATTTATCTATGAGCAATATAAAATCCATTGTTTGGTTACGCCTCACTGCAAATACACGTCACATTATTTCATCGATGATTTTTTTTTTATTTGCCTGTTAATCCGTGAATCTCAATTCAGAGAGAAATTTTATTGATAAAAATTACTATTGATCGCTTATTAACGAGTATTCAATCTTACTTGGCAAATTAAAGAGAGGTGCAGTAATAAAAAAAAGAGCAAAGGTTAAATTTTTTTCTGAATTTACATTTTGCTTCCGTACTTTATTTTTGTTTCATTAAATGTTTAAATAATTTTTTGTAATTTAAAATTGAGTTTAATGGTAATTTAAAAATTGTGTTAATTAATTAACTTTGAGAAGAATTTTATTGTTAATTTGTTAATCTATCAGGGGAAAAAGTGTCTTTTGTTCTTTTTTGTCACACCGGTCGTTTCATTTGCGAATGTACTTTTTCTCGGGTTAGAAATTTTTTTAAGTTTAAAGTTATTAATGAACGTTGAAAATTTAGTAACATTTACTTTCTTTTTAAATAAAATAGGAGACTGAATTTCTATCGAGAGAAAGAGATTCAATATTGTAGTTTTTTGTACTCGATTCTAGGATTTAAATAGAAATTAAATTTTTTCGGAGTAAAGTTTTACTCAGTTAATTTATTTTTTTGTCGAGCTTAATCAATTTTATTCTTATTCGTTCAATTTTTATTAACTTGGTAAAACTTTACTATTATAGACTTTTATATTTTAAGAGACTCTAATTCTGGTTTTGGCTTTTAACTGAAATTTTTTTAAGTTAATCAATCGGCGAGCGAGATTTCTTCAATTTTTGAAAATTGAAATCTAAAATCATTTTGTTTTCCATTATTGTTATTATTATTATTTTCATAATTATTATTATTTTTGTTATTATTATTATGATCATTATATTATTATCTAAACATTTTCTCTAAATGCAGAATAAATTTTATTTTGAAAGAATTGCATCTCGCTCGCTGAATGTCATGCCAGAGATTTTTTTTAATTTTTTTGGACAGTGAAAAGAAAAAGGGGTGGGTGAGGGCAAATATGATTAATAATAAAAAAAATAATACAAAAAGGGGTTGGTAATAATAAAAAAAAAAAAAAAAATGGGGTAAAATTGAGACAAGAATCGTGGTCTAACTTGGTTCATGGTTTGTGCCCTGGCCCCGCCCCGACCCCGGCGTTGCCCCCCATGGTTGCCCTGCCGTTGCCCTGTACTGCCCGGAACGACGGATCCTAACTCGATCGGAAATGGACCACCCTCCAACAATCGACAACAACTACCAACCACCACCAATGAACCAATCAACCACCAATCACCATGGCCCGACAGTACAAAGCCTCAATCACTGTACCCGATTGCCCCGGACCCGAACGGTAATACCAAACACCACTACTTAATGTCTAATACTTTGTTTTCTAATTACAAAATACGATACGGTGCCATACTACAATTTTTCTCTTTTTTTAAAAAAAAAACTTACTTTCTTTTTTTCTTCCTTTTTTTCATAATATATATATAAATACTCTCCCACTGTTACTGTTGTCTCTCTATCTATCTCTCTCTTTCCTTGGCTGCTTTTAATTATACAGGAAAAAAATATTTTTCAAATAAGATGAAAATTTGTTTTATTTACTATTCTTTTGTATTTTTATTATTTGATTATTAAATTATAATTAACGATATCGCTAATTTAATTTTAAAAAATTATTTTTCATTTATGTTGCATTTTGTAAATATTATTCTGCTTTCTTACAGAGGAAGTATTTTATTTTTATTTCTGGGATTTTCTTTATTCGTATCTCTGGTTTTTTTTGGATTTTTCTTTTACTAATTTTCATTAATTTCTTGCTTTATTTCAGTTTAGAATAAAAAGAGGTTGCAATTTCTAAAAATTAAAAAAATGTCATTTTTTTGGATTTTTTGCCGTACAATAATTTTTTTTACAGAAAAAATAGTGTACCGTCTACTATTTTTTGTATAAACAAAAAATTATGGACAATTTTTAAAAATATTAAATTTGAATGAAATAATAGAATTTTTTTAAATATTAAAATTTTTCAAGTAGATATTTTTAATTGTTATTTTTTTTATATTTAAAAAAATTCTAATATTTAATTTTTATTCTATTCTAAATAAATGGCAAACAGTTTTATAAAAATAATCTTTAAATTTTTTTTGCAATTAATTTTATTTCTTAATTTGCAATTTAATTGAAATATAATTATTTCACTGCAAAATTTAATTTTACTTTATTTTGTAATTTGATTCCTAATTTTCTTAATTTTTAAATTGAGAGAAGTACAATTTTTTGACGATTTTAAATTCAATTTTACTGGATTTTGAAATTTAAAAAAATTATTTCTGTTCAATTTTAATGGCAAAAGGTTTTATAAAAAAAATGGTAAATTTTTCACTATAGTTAATAATTGAAGTATAAAAATACAATTTTTTGACGTCTGTTAAATTTAATCAATTCTAAAATAATGGAGAACAGTATAAAAAATTTGTAAATTCTTTCACCAGTTGTTCATTTGAAAATGAATAGAAATAGAAATTTTTATCGACTATTAATTAAATTTGGTAATTAAATTATTAGAAAATTCATTCAAAATTTGTAATTTAGAAAAATAATTTCTATTTAATTCTAAAATAATGTCAAAAAGTTTGAAAAAACTTGTAAATTATTTCGCAGGTTTTTAAATTGAAAATTAATAGAAATATAATTTTTTTTATCGACATTAAATTAAATTTGATAATTAAATTTAGTAATATTTTGATTAAAATTTGCAATTTAAATAAATATTTTTTATTTAATTCTAAAATAATGGAAAACAGTTTTAAAAAATTGTAAATTATTTCACCGGTTGTTAATTTGGAAATTAGTAGAAATATAATTTTTTTGTCGACTTTAAATTAAATTTGGTAATTAAATATAACAATTTTTTGGCTAAAATGTATATCTAATCTAAATAAATCTTTTATTTAATTCTAAAATTATGGCAAACAGTTTATACAAAAAATTGTAAATTATTTCAACGGTTGATAATTTGAAAATTAGTAGAAATATAATTTTTTTGTCGACTTTAAATTAAATTTGGTAATGAAATTTTTTAGAAAAATTGGTTTAGAGTTTGTAATTCAATTAAATAACTTTTTTAATTTTAAAATAAAGGCAAACAGTTTTTAAAAAATTGTAAAATCTTTCACCAGTTGTTATTTTTTAAATTACATAGTAGAAATACAATTTTTTGTCGACTATAAATTAAATTTTACTCGATTTTATAATTTAAAAATATAATAGAAATAACAGAAGAATAAATTCTAGTCCACTGTCGAAAATCAATATTTCAGAATAAAGAAATTTTAATTTTAAAAGAAAATATTTGGTGCTAGAAAAAATTAAAAAAAGAAAGAAATCATTTTTGATTAAATAAATAAAAGGACAAAAATATAATTTTTTGTAATATTTTTTATCTTTTTGGAAAAAATTCAAGTTTTTTCGTATCTTTCTATTTTTCTTATTTAATATTTAATAATAAAATAATTTCGAATAAATTTAAAAGACAAACAATTTGCAGAATTCTTTTCAAGTATTTGAAAATATTTTTTGAAAATATTTTTTTCAGTGTATAATTATTCATGTAATTGTCCATTCATATTTTTCTCCACCTTCTCTTTTCTCCATTCATCTCTATTAATCCATTTGGTATATCTGTGTACAATCTACCTGTCAATTAATCTATGTAGCAATCTTTCTATATATCTGTTGGTCTATACTCTATCTTGTCTATTTACCAATATTTCTCTTTCTCTCACTCTTTCAATTAATTCTGGTTTATTCATTTATAAATATAATAAATACTTTCTCTCTCTATCTCTCACTCTCTCCCTCTCTCTCATAATTGTGTTTGTAAATTTGTCCACCCCCGAATTACCCAACCCGGCATCTGTTTTTTATACTCACCCACGTGTCTGTCTTGCCTGTCCATTTACACCTCACGAGACCTTAAATGTGTCCAAAATATGTGCTCTCAGCACCAAAATATCATAGACATCATTCTTTTCTCTCGTGAATCCTCCTCTATTTTACATATCCCAAAATACCAAAACATTTTTTTCTTTTTTTCATTTAAATAAATAAAAACCCAATCACTTTTCGAAACTGCATCGTGAAAATTATTGTTATATCCTTTTATTTATTATACTTCATCTCGCTTGAAAATTGAAAAACAATTATTTTCCTCTCTTTCACTCTCTATTATCATTTTTTTTTTACATATATCTTTTATTTCATTTGTTTCTTTTGTCTATCTTGAAAAAAAAATTAAAATGCGCCCTCTACGTATAATGGTTCTATATTTTTTCGGTTTAGAAAAAAAATATTATTGTTCATTTTTGATTTTTCAGATTTTTAATTATTATTTCTCATTTGTTATTATAAAAGAATCATTATATTTCAGGTCTTTGGTTCCCGTCCAATGTGAAATTATTTGAAAAATTTTATTTTTTGTTTCGTTTTTCTCTCTTTTCTCTGTCTCTGTATATTGTTAATAACTGATTTTAGTGGATTTATTTTTGTTTGTTTTTTTATGACGACACTGAAAAAATTTTTTGTTTTTATTCGATATTTTTTGGTGGAAAACGATTTAAAAATTGTTTTTTTAATGTCTTTTTAATCTACTATTTTTATTGCTTTTTTTATTTATTTTTTTTTTTTTAATCAATTTTGTAGATATTTTTTATCAAACGATTAAAATTTCAATAAAACGATTCTGAAAAATATTTTTTTGATGGCTTTTTTTAATTTTAATTGCAAAAATTTAATTTTCAATTTAATTTAATGGGTTTAAATAAACATAAGAATATGTAAAGTAATATTCTAAATGATGAAAAAAAAATTTAATGAAAGGTTTTATAATTTTTTTCAGTGTCTGATATTTTATTTATTTAAACTTTTTCTTCCTTAGTTGTCATTGATAGTGCACCTTTTCCTGGCTAGTTTTATGACCGAATATATTTCTCGACATTAAATTACACTGGTCAACACAGCGGAGACCCATGGAATATCCTGGTTTTCATCACAAAAACAAATTTTTTATTTCTGATTTTATTGTAGTTTTTAGAAATTAAGACTTTTGCTTTTACAGAAATTATTACGAATTCCCAATTTTAATCTTTAAGCGCAGTTTTTATACATTCGAATTAAAAAAACAAAATATTTTAATTCAGTTTCAGATTGAATGCAATTAAGAATATTTGGAGTGCAACGTGAATTTTTTTTAATAGACAGAGAGAGAAACGATATTTTTAGGTTTTATAATAAGTTTATAAAATCTGTTTAGATTAATTTATTTAAAATTGTTTTAAATCCATTTAGGAGACAGGAATAGGCGGAAAAAAGGGGAAAAATTATTTTCAACCTTCCTCCCGAGCTGAAAATGTTTTAATTTTCCAAGCGACAATTTTCTCTGCAAATTTAATTTCATTTTTAATTTAAGATTTCAAAATTTTCTTACCATTTTCGAAATGAAGTAGTTTTTAAATTTGTTTTTTAATTTAATTAGAAATTTATTTCTGCTTTTGTTAATTTATTTCGGAATTTATCTTATTTTTGAAAATTGATTTTGAATAAAAAATGAAAATGGTTTGAAGAAAGCTTTTTTTTCCGATGTTCTATTATTAAAAGAGGAAATTCTCCATTCGTATTCAAATTGCATGCTCTAAATGAGTTTCTTGGGAATTTAGAGGAGAAAAAAAAATCATTGCACAACGCACAATCCTTTTGTATTTCTTTTCAACTATATAGAGAAACAATAATTTAGTGCATTGTCGACGAGAAAAAAGAACGAAAAAGAAAAACGTTATTCAAGAATGCTCGTTTGATAGTTGTCTTGTTTTTTTTTTTAAATAATTATCACTTTTTCCAGCAATTATTCGATAATTTTAATAATGAGAGAGTGTTTCTAAAACTGTGGATAATTAAAATTGTCGATCTACTGTTTAGAAAAATGAAAAAAAGCTATTTCTTGGAAAACAAAAAAAAATCAAAGGGCGACACGGTGCACGAAGTTCACAATTTTTTTTTAGTTTTCACAAAATCTTTATTATTCTTATTAGCATTATTATTAAGACAATAAATAAAATTTACACCTATGACTCCCTTAGAGAGTATCACAGTTGATGTTTCACTTTTGGTAATCACAAGTGTCATTTTACCGTGACTGCTGCACGTTCAATTCAAAAATGTTTATAAAAATGTAAGTACTAGGGCCATCAGCCAAAAAAAATACGTGTAATCAAATTTTTATGTTTTTTCTCCAAGAGAGATTTTTTTCCAACTTTGACAAATTTTTATTGAGCTGTACGATATTGAAATAATTTACAGTTAAAAACAATTTACAGTAAAAAATAATTTATAATTAAAAATAATTTACACTATAAAATAATTTACAGTTAAAAATAAATTACATTTAAAGATAATTTACAGTGAAAAATAATTTACAATTAAAAATAATGCATAATTATTAATTAATAATTAACTACACACAATAATTAAGAATTAATATTAAGAATTAAAATTATTAAAAAAGAATTATTAAAGTAATTCTTCAAATTTTTCTCAAAAAAAAAGAAAAATAATAAAAAAAAATTGAGTTCAAAACAATTTTCTTTGACATATTATAATTCTGGTGAAGTGAAACAAAAACTATTATAATTATAGTTGTGATATAATTTTACAGTAGTTTAAAAGGTTTCGGTGAGAATAAAAATAAAGAAGGAGGAGACGATCGTTGGCAATGTGAGAATCGACGATAAATTTTGTTTTATTTATCAGATGGAATATGGAAATGGTTGAGGATATCAAATCCATGCATATTTCCAAACCACGATTGCAATACATTTTTTTCCGATAACTCAATCGTCAAAATGCTTCTCTCAATTTTATGGAAACGATTTAACTCTTGATCTCTTTGCTTTTAGGGTATTAACTATCAGCTCAGATCTGGAGACTGTACTTCAGGTTTTAAATGAAATCGTGCCCAATCTGGAAGAGGTAAGAGAGACTTGAACATTTTTTTTTCTAAATTTATTCTTTTTGATCATTTTATTTTTCTTTACCTTGTATTTTTCTTCTGTTCTATTTTTTTTCTTTTCTATATTTATAGGTATTTTTTGCCTTTCCTCTATTTTTTCTTTTCTTTTTTTTTCTTTTTTTCTATTTCTTTTTGTTTTTATATTTTTTCTCTTATTTTTTTCTCGTTCTTCACTTTCTACCTTTTCTTCTATTTTTTCTTTCCTTTATTTATATTTTTTTCCCTTTTTATTTTTTTCTTTATTTATATATTTTCTCTTATTTTTCTCTTTCTTCAACTTTTTTTCTTTTCTTTATTTATATTTTTTCGCCAATTTTTCCCTTTCTTCAATTTTTTTTTTATATTTTTCTCCTATTTTCTCCCTTTCTTCATTTTTTTCCTTTTCTTTATTTTTTCCTATTTTCTCCTTTTGTTTATTTATATTTTTAATTTATTCCCTTTTTATTTCAGCATTTTCAGGCGTTATTTTCATTGATAAAAAATATTTTTTAGTTAATACTGTAAAAATTCAAAAAAAAAATCAATTTTAGACATTTTTTTTCTTTTATTGTAGATTAAATAAAAGTCATTATTTTATGTCGATAAAATTGATTCTATTTTTATTTGAGCAAATTATTTATTCGTTATTGATGTTTGCAGAATGGATCCAGACATGGAAATGACGAGATCGACGTACGAATGTTGGTTCATCAAAGTCAAGCAGGATGCGTCATTGGAAAAGGCGGACTTAAAATTAAGGAGCTTCGCGAGGTACGATTTCTTTTACTTTCTTTTAATTAAATATAATAATTATCAATTTAAAATTCAAAGAAAAACAAGTGTCACTTGGAAATTCAAAAATGTTATAATTACCAAATTTCACGAGAAAAATAGTGGAAAACTATTTTTTCAATTTATTAAAGTCTTTACCTTATTGTTCGTAAAATTATTAATATTCTTCTCTTTGTTATTAATTTATTGTTATTATTTTTGTATTTTATTTCTATATTTTTATTTACATATTTATTTTTTATAATTTATTTCTATATTTTTATTTGTTTTATTTTTTATTCTATTTTTATTATTATTATTTTTATTATTATTATTACTATTATTATTATTATTATTATTATTATTATTATTATTATTATTATTATTATTATTATTATTATTATTATTATTATTATTATTATTATTATTAATTTTTTTCGCTATTTCTGAAAAGCATCCTCGAAAGAATTTGATCTGGTTTGAAAATTTTTCCGAGAATCTAATAAATCGTGCAAAAATATGAATATGAGAGATATGAAGGCGAAAAAAAACCGGATAAAGTGTATGATTAGAAAAAAGGGAAAAAAAAGTTCGATTCTTCAATGTTCCATTCTATATTATTCAGGATAAGAAGGGTATGAGAGAGAAAGAGAGAGAGAGAGTCTCTACCATTCAGCGACATCGCCAATGCTGATTTAATTCGACTTGAAGCCGTCAGAAGCGACTTTATTGATTTTATATGCACAATACTTTTTCTTTTTTTTTTTATGGAAAAAACGTGATTTTTCTATCTTATTTTTTAACTCAATGAGAAGGGGTGCAACAACTTTTTTAAATTTATCATCACTACAACTACTCGTGGAATAGATTTTTAATAAAAAGAGAAAAATCTCTTTTGTGAATGAAATTTAAATTCTACCTTTGTAGTGTAGTCCCTAAAAATACCAGAAGAACAAATAGCGAGGTTTTTTTTTATTTTATGTTTTTTTACCCCATGAAAATGTGGTGAATTTTTCATTTTTTTGTATGGCTTTTAAAAAAAGGGAAAGAGTGAGAGAAATTGGTTTCGAGCTATTTGGATCAATATTCATAGTCAAACTCATTTTTCAAACCGTATTCGATGAAATTGAAAAAATGGAATGTTGATAAGTTTTTTGATAAAGTTTTGGTTTATTTTGTTTTGAAAAATATACAACGTAGAGAAAATAAGTGGATAATTTGAAATGTGAAACTATTTTTGGAATTGGTTTCAAAATGTTTTTAAAAATGTGTAGAGAAAAATCGAAGATAAATATTTTAACAGGGAAAGTAGTTCTTCTTTACCTGTTTTGTTTTTTTTCCTTACTCAATTTTAAAAATTATACGCGAAAAAATTAGTGGATGATTTAGGGATTTTTGGAAATTGTTTCAAAATATTTTTAAATACCTGTAGAGAATTCGAAGACAAAATTTTAGCAGGGGAAGTAATTCTTTTTTATTTTCTGAATTTTTGAAAATTGTAGGAAAGAAAAAAAAATTAGTGGGTAATTTAGGAATTTTTGGAAATAGTTTTAAAATATTTCTAAATGCCTATAAAAAATCGAAGATATTTCAATTTTTATTTTCTGAATTTTTGAAAATTATACGCGAAAAAAAATTTGTGAATAATTTACGAATTTTTGGAAATAGTTTCAAAATATTGTTAAAAGTCTAGAGAAAAATTGAAGATAAAAATTCCAACAGAGAAAGAAAAATAGTTCTTTTTTATTTTCTGAATTTTTGAAAATTGTACGCAAGAAAAAAAAGTTGAAGAGTTTCTAAAAAAAATTTGTTTCCAAAAGTATTTAAAAGGATTCAAAGCTGAATTTCTACAGAAAAAAAAATGAGATATGAATTTTTTTACTCGATGGGGGTTTTTTTTCGTAAGTCTTTCATTGTCCGTTATTTATAGGGAATTGTCTCTTTATTTGACTTTTTTGTTCATCATTATTTTTTCATTTTTTTAATATGTATTCAGTTAAAATTTATAAAGTTGAGTTTCGTCACGCGAAAGTCGGTGGACTTTTCCTTCATCGACATGTGTTGCTACGAGGGTTCGCCCGCATGGCACGCAATTCGAACAGGTGCTGCATCAGGTAATGGTCGGTTTTTAACAGCTGCCATGCCAGGTGTACATGCCGTTCACTAACACGCTGATGGTGCCCCTGGCTCTTCCCAACCAAATAACTACCTTCGTTCTCTTCCAAATCAGGAAAATTTTTCCCTCCTCATCGTTATTCATTCAAATTTCTTCGAAAATTTTTCCCTAAGATGGGAAAAAGGAAAATTCTTTTCAATAGGAGGAAATTCTTCACAGAAAATCCGATAATTATGGTATTTTATTTTAATTGTTCGGAAATAATTTTCTCTAGTGATGATTGCAAATATTTTCCAGAAAAAGAAAATTGTTGACGATTGGTTTTTTTTAATTTGTACAAAAGGTTTGATATTTAAAAAAAAAGATGAAAATTTGTATTCATAGGAAAAAATTGCGATATTAAATTATTCGGCAAATAAAAATAGTGTTGCAATGATGTTCAATTTAAATAAATATTAATTAGGAGAGTAAAATTTTTCAATTCGTAAAAATTATTTTACTTCGAGAATAAAGAGTTTAAATTTCTATTTGGATTGGAAATTTCGTTTTGAATTATAAATTCAAATTTGTTTTTTGTAATAAATTTGCAATTTTTTGAAATTCGGTTTTTAATTTTAAATTCGAATTTGTAATTTACAATCAATTTTTATTTTAATTAATTTGCAATTTTTTTGAAATTTGGTTTTAAATTCTAAATTCTAGTTTTTAATCAATTTTTATTGTACATAATTAATTTTTATTGCAATTGTTTTGTATTTCAATTGATTACTATTGAAATTAATTTGTATCAAAATTAATTTTTGTTCTCCCTTTTTTCTTTTTCGCAAAAAAAAATTTCAATTTGTATCAAAATTATTGTTTTGTTCGTCCTTTTTTCTTGAGGCGATGACAATTAATTTTTGTTCGCCCTTTTTTCTTGTGGTAAAAATAATTTTAATTTGTATGAAACAAAATTTTTCGGAGGTAAATTCTTATATTTCATTAACTTCTTCTTCATTCAATTCATATGGGTTGTGTTCTGTTTTTTTTTCTTTTCATTCCCATATAACAAGTTAGTGAACGAAATAAACTGACATTGTGTTCGTGTTAGGTTGAGAGTCGATTCTTGTATAGGAGAGAAGGAGTAGGGAGGAAGGATATGTTCGCCACCACCTCCCATTGAATAAAAAGCACCCAGGAAAAGGAAAGTTTTAAGCGCGACCTAACTCCACTAAGGGGTAAGGGCTTTTAAAAGATTCAGTGTAGCTTCAGTTGTTGCCCGAGACTACAAAAGTGAGCACCTCACTCCTTGAAATTTTTATTTCATCACATAACTGTTTTTCTTACGTTATTTTTTTTCTCTCTCTCTTTTTTGACGAATTTCCCCCTTGTATATTATTTAATACTTCAGTGCAATTACTTGCCATCATCAAATTTTCATTTTGAGGAAAAGAAAAACTTTCGTCGTTATGGAATTACATTGTTTTCCTTATTATTTTCGAAACAAGTGAGTTGTTTATTTTATTTCAAATATTGTAGTTAATATTTTCTACTTTGCTTAGGTTCGATTTTTCTTCTTCGTGAATTTGACCACTTTTGTTTCATTTCCATTTTTTTAATTGTATTTTTTTATTCTTTTTTTAAATCGTATTTTTTCTAATTTAATAACATGTTTTATTAATTTTTACCTACATTTTAACTCTAATTTTTTTTTTAATAGAATAGAATTTATTTCTTAATGCTATAAATTTTGCTATTTTTTTTATTATAAATTTCTTTTTATTATTTATTTTATTTATTGTATTTATTATTAATTAATATGAAAAGGAATTTTTCCTTTTGTGTATTATATTTAATATAAAACAAAATTAAAACAAAATTAAAATTTACTGAATTAATTGTTATTTGCAGAAATTTTTAGTTTACTGAATTAATCGTTAATTACTAAAAATGTTAATATTCTGAAATTATCGTTAATTACTGAAATTGTTAATTTACTGAATTAATCGTTAATCACTGAAATTGTTAATTTATTCAACTAATTTTTTATTAATATAAATTGTTGATATAATTTTTTTCGTGATCGAATATTTTTTTATTGGGTTGCTATAGAAATTCTTCTCTCTTTTCTTTGAAAAAAAATGAAGGTCCATTTTTGCATGTTATATATATTCTATATATATTTAAAGAAGTTGGACTTCCGGTTTCATTTCATATAAATGAACTTATCCTTTTGAATATCAGCTGCAGATCCTTTCACATGACTGGAAACGACACATGTGACAGCGGAAGACCGCACGTCCTTTCAAATACATTTTCGTACCATCTGTTTTTCACCATTCATTTCCGGTCGCGATTGTTCTACAAATTTCTGTATTTGACTAATTATTGGTCTATTTAATATAATTATTATTAGGGACAAAATGCAATTTTATCTAAATTCTTTAAATTAACCGCAGTAATGACTATTATTGCTGGAAGTAAATAATAATAATACATAGGAATAAAAACAATAGTAAATAATACTAATAATAATAATATAATTAGTAATGATAATAATTCCTAAAAAATAATAAAATAAAAAATAATATCAACAATTAAAAAATATGTTTGAACTTGACAATAGAACTTGACACAATTCGATTTTTTTTAAAACCTTTTTTGAGTATTTATAATATTGCCTACGCAATTCTTTTTATTTTCAATTAAAAATAATTTATATTTACATAGATTTTAGTAAAACGTACATTATTATTTAAATGAAATTTACAAGTAACAATATTAAAAAAAAAGTCAGTTTCAGGAAGTGACAGAAAGAATCCATGGCAGGCATCATTTAATTATTTGATTACACTTTCCAGTTATTTAGCGAAGAAACATTTTAAAACTTCAATTAAAATAAAAAGTTCACTATAAATAAAAATAGCGATTTAAAGAAATTAATGTTTATTTAAAGTGAACTTTGTTTGACCCTTTGAAGACAAGTTTTACTCACAAGCATAAACAATTTTTTTTAAATATTGTAGTTTATCTGTTTAATTTTATTTTTTTCTCGAAAAAAATTATTTTGATTTCTTTTTTCGAATTTTTTGTTTTTTTACTTTTATTGAAATACGTAATTTTTCCTTTTTATTTACAACAAATATTCTCTTCGTTCTTTTTAATTTTATTTACATTCTCAAAAAAATAAAGAAGGTATTTTTCTTGATCTGATAAAAAATTCGAAAAAAACAAGATTTAATAATTAAAAAGCGCTTTTTTTGGAGAAAAAAATGTCTTCAAAGTGTTAATGAAAAATTTTAATTGATTTAAAATTTGACTCTATTATTTAAAGAAAAGAATAACTCTTTATTTTCTATCTATATATAGAGAAAAATTATAAAATTCATGCATTGAGATACATTATTGCAATTACAATTCCTATGATACCGATGATTAGTAAATAAAATGGTGCACCTGGTCCAGAGACATAACTTTCTGGTTCCTTGGAATTATAACCGGCTACCCATCCGGCTTTTGGTTTACTATTTGCCCTGTCGCTCTCAATTAATTCACCAACTCGATATTTGTTCATTAATTCAAAGGCATCCGTCGAATGACCCACATCGTCAAAATCCTCCGAAGCATCCTTATTGCGATGATCCAGGAGAATTTCCTCGCCTCCTGGATGCTCATTTAAAAATTGATGAACATCGTAAACCTTGTCGTGTATTATGATAAACGTGTTTTTCTTCACATCACTGTTTTCAATCTCTGCTCTCGTGTATTGCTTTAGCTTAGTCATGATTTGTCGACTTTTCTTTATGTCCTATACGTTATACGTACTTTATATCCAAGAATCTGAAACAAAAGTTTGAGGAGTAAAAAAAATGGTTAATTGAAAAACTTGTTTTTTCATTATTTTCTTCTGCCTTGTTCTTCGTTGGTTATAAAACTGGGTAGATTGAGAAGTCTTGCAAAACTTTTGAAAAATGATTTCATTCCTGGGTTTTTTTTCTTTTTGTTAAGTTAAAATTGAAATTTAAACCAAAACAGAAGTTTGCGATTAATTTTATTTTTAATTATATTTTTCACGTGGATTAGTAATTTATTTGAATTGAAATTAAATGTAGTAAATAAATAATAGTAATGGTAATAATAGTACAAATATAGTAGTTGAATACAGTAGTTAATAGTGATTAATTTAATTATGGAAATTTTATCACCTGTGTCGTCATTTTTGTTTTCAGTCAGTTTTCGACTCTTCTGAGAGAATTTTAAAATATTTATCTCCTCGAAATGAATTATGAAATTAATTTTAATCTTTTTGATTTAATTCAATTTCAAAAATGCTAAGCAAATTTTGTTTAGGTACTAATGACGGTAATTGATTTTGTTTATTGATTTAACAAATTTAAGAAAATTTGAATATTTTTAGTATTTTTTAATATTGTAATCGCTTTTAATATTTAGAAAAAAATTGAATATAATTTTATATTCAATAACAGTAAAGTATTTTAATATTTAATATTTTTTACAACAAATTTTCAAAAAATACCAAAGAAAATTGTTTTGTTTTTAATAACTTTAATTGTTTTTTCGTTGATTTAACTAATTTAATAGAATTTGAATATTTTTATATTTTCTACGGTATTTTTTATTATTTCAAGCGTTTGTAATATTTAGAAAGAAATTAAACATAATTTTTTATTCCAATAACAATGAAATATTCTAATATTGAATATGTTTTACTACAAATTTTCAAAAGTACTAAACAATTTTTTTTTAAACTTTAATTATTTTTCCTCAACATTTTAATTAATTTTTAAAAAATTTGAATATTTTCAAAATTTTTACATTTTCTATGATTGGTATTTTTTTAACATTTTAAGTGCTTCTAATATTTTGAGAAAAATTAAAAATAATTATATATTCATTCAATAAGAATAAAATATTTTGGTACTTTTTACTACAAATTTTCAAAAACACTAAACAATTTCTTTTTCTTTTCAACAACTTTAATTGTTTTTTCTAATTCAAATTCTTAATTATTTTAATGAATTTAAAAGAATTTGAATGTTTATAATATTTTGGTATTTTCTATGGTATTTTTTAATATTTCGATCTAATATTTCAAGCTCTAATGTTTAAGAAAAAAATAAACAATTTTATATTCAATATCATTAAATAATTTTAATATTGAATATTTGTTTACTTCAAATGCTCGAAATTATAAAATTTTTGTTAAATTTGAAATTAATTGAATGAAATTGAATTGAATTTTATTATTAATTGAATTAATTTGAATTGAATTTTATCTTCTTTATTTATTTTATTTAAATCTAAAAAATCAATTCTAGTCTATTTGTTTGATTTATTTGATTTTTCACAAATTGAAAATTGAAGAAATATAGAATTGTTGCTACAGGTGATTTTTGAATTATAAAAGAGAAAAACATCTTGTTTTTAAAGTCTCCTCTCTCACTGAGAGATGATCTTTGACCTCTTTTATGATTCTAATCTATAAAGAATTCGATTTACCAAGAATTTCAATTTCAATTTATGCATTCTTATTTTTTTTCTTCGTTTTTTTAGAATAAACTTGATTTTTTATTCCTGTTGTTACTATAAGAAAGAAAATTGGAAAAAATTGCGTTTTTGAGGGTAAAATAGAGTATTTTTGATAAAAATTTTAAAAAAATTTCTTGTTTTGTTGGAAAATATATAAGTAACGCGTAATTTAAGTTTTACACTGTCTTTTTTCTTTGATAAGAAACTTTTATCTATTTGTGGCAACTAAAATGAAGGTTCGTCAAATAAATTAATCGTTTCGTACTCTTTTTTTTACTTTTGTCCTTCATTTAAAATAAATATTAGAATTTATAATTACATGAGAAGAATATTTTGCATTTATATTCACTCACCTTTTTTTTTGCGTTTAAAAATTCCTTTCGCTCTTCATTTAATTTTCTTGAAAACTATTTTTTTCCGTATAATTTGTTTTATATGTAGAAAAATGGAAAACAATTTTTTTTTTATTGTAATGAAATGAAAAACGGGTTTTTTTGTGGAAAAATATCGAGAAGAATGTTTAAAGAATCTCTCGCGCTTATACACTGACAGAGAATGATCAAGTACATAGTTTTATCCATTTTTCTTGTCGTCGTTCCCCACTCCTTCGTTTCTCGTTCACTTATAATATGAACATGTTATATCTGTAGTGTATGACTCGCATGCACGATTGAAGGTCGTCCATTGATGAAGTTTTCGAAAAGCTCACGGTAAAATTTATTCCATTTTACAGTGAGCGAAAATTTTTTACTTAAAGTCTCGTTTCTATATTTTTCATACTTTTTTTTATAAAAGTATTTTTATATATTTATTGGGTATAAAAATGTGTAAAATTTAAATTTTAAATTGGAAAATTCAAATTCAAATTGGAAAACTAAAATTCAAATTCAAATTCGAAAATTAAAATTGAAATTAAAATTACATTTTATTTAATTATAAATTTAAATTAAATCTGTTTCTTTTTATTCACTTTTTGCAAATTTCGAATCGATCGATTTTGTTGTTTACTTTGATTGTCATTTGCGATATTTGTTTATTCGATATGCACTTTTTTCTCCTCCTATCAAATTCATTGGAAATTTATCACAATTTGTCTAATTTTATCACAATTCAGTGATATAAAAATAAATTCACAATTTTTTAATTGTTTTCCGTTAACTTGGCAATATTTGCAATTTTTGTTTTTGTAAATTTATTCCTTATCAATAGACAAAAAAATGAATTAATTTTTTCTAAATTTCTTAAATATTAAGTAATATCAGAGTTTAGAGAGAAAAAATTGTATTCTTGAAAAAAGAAAAAATTCAGATTTTGGTAGAACTGGTAAGAATTAGAATTTTTAAAGAAAAAGTTTTTTTTGTTGTAAAATTAGACTTACGTTTTAATAGGACGCAGTGTTATAAGTGTAAGTACTCTCTGTTGGTTACTAGAGACATGAAATAATACGCGCATTGAAATAGACGAGTCACGATGACGACATTAATCATTGCAAAGTAACTTAATAGAGAAGAAACTTTATATATAAAATATAATTGTCACATTTGTTTACATATCGAGTGTTTAGAATGATTCGAGCTCTTAATTTTTCTGAATGTAAAGAAATTTTATTTAGAGTTTTCAAAATTATAACTATATAAATAATTATGAGGTAATCACAATTTTCGTGCGTAGAAATATTTCCTTAACTAATCTATCTTTAATTGTATAAAATACCTCACCGAGTGTACAAAAATATTCTGTCATTATCATTATAGCTGAATGATAAAAAACCTAATTGGTATTTAATAATTTTTTTATCTCTCCTAAAGGAGTAAAAAAACCCATTATATTGGAATATTTGTCAATTCAATTTAAATATTGCAGAAAAAATTTTTTTTCAATTTCGTAGAAATGATTAATTTAGATTAGAAACAGTTAATTTACTTCAGAAGTAATTAATTTAAGTTAGAATTAAATTTACATTACAATTAAATTATATTTATTTTTTTTACATTTACATTAGAAAAAATTAATTTACGTTTCTTTTTTCAAAAGGTGTAATTTTTTCTTCTGTATTAAAGAATTTAATTTTTTTCAGTAAAACAGTATATACTAATTAGAAAAAGAATTACTGAGCGATTATTATTATTGTTAATAATAGAGACGATAGAATATTACGGCGTAAATTAAAAAGCCGAGAGTAAAAATAATTGGTAGAAAATTTGAGGATTCTTTTTTTGGTTCCTCGTATTGCCAATCGTCGTCGTCGGCGTTGTCGTTATTATTTGATGAGTCTGTTGATGTTAATTTGTTTGTTTCTATTTTCTCCGCAGGCTTATTGTCAGTTTGGCCAATTTTAAATGACTCACGGAGTGTTATTGCCTCGAAGGAATGACCAATGTCGTCGAAACATTGAGAGCCATCTTGACCGGCTAAATTGATGAGAACTTCCTCACCACCTGGGTGTTCCTTTAGGAATTTTGTTAAATCGTAGACATTGCCGTTCATCACCATCCACAAATCTTTTTCGTCATTGTGATTGGCAACCTCATCCATCGAGTAGACTTTCTCCATTTTTTTCAAGTTATTTCTCTTCTGAAATAATTTGGAAATTTTTAATTCTCTAAAAATCGCAAATCGATTTGGATTTTTTTCTGGTTTAATTTATTTTTGATTTACATTGAGAAATGTAGAAATCTTTAGAATTTATATTGAACCTCTAATTTTTTTGCCAAAGAAATTTTATTTTGTTCAATTTCTTATTGGATGGAATTTTTATTTATTTGGAAGAAATTCTACTTTTTGGAAATTCTAAATTTTGGGAAAATTTAAATTTAGAGTTTCCATTTTAATTGTGTTAAATAAAAATTCGGTTTAAGTTTTGGTAGATAAAAATTCGTTTCTATACAAAATTTTGGTAGATCAAAAATTCGTTTAAATAGAAATTTTGGTACCTGAATAAAAATCCGGTTGAATGGAAAATCTGGTAGATAAAAATTCGTTTTAATAGAAATTTCGGTCGATAAAAATTGGTTTAAATAGAAATATTGAGGAGATGAAAATTCGTGTAAATAAAAATGTTTGTAGATAAATATTCCCTTCAATAAAAATTTTTGCAAATAAAAATTCGTTGAAATAGAAATTTTGGTAAATAAAAATTCCTTTAAATAGAAATTCGGTTAAATAAAAATGTTGGTATAAAGGAAATTTTGGTTTGATAAAAATTCGTCTAAATAAAAATTTTGTTAAATTTCGCTTTGATAAAAATTTAATAGTGTAAAAATTCAGTTTGATATTAATTTTACTTGACAAAATTCTTCTAAATAGAAATTATGAAATTGAATTGAAATGAAATAGGAAATTGAATAGAAAATTCTCTCTCTACAAAAAATGGAACGAAGTTTGAAAGTATTTTTTCTCTTCATTTGAGAAAAATAAACATTTCCTTCAAGTACAGAAAAGTTCACTGAATTCATTGACATCTTCTATAAAAGAAAAGTTAAATCTTTACTAACCTGAATTTACGAGTTAAAAATCCTTGAAGGTAACCAGAAATTTCTTTCCAGATATTTCTTTTTCAAATTTTCACTAATATAATTATTATTCTATATTATTATACTCTGTATTCTATATTATTATAATTATTATTATAGTTACAGTAGAATAATATTATTTGTTTACACTTCAAATATTATCTCGAATCTATGTCGCGATTAGTTTTCTCTTTTTTAAATTTTCTACACCACCATTTTATTGAAAAATGCTAATTCGCTTTAATCTCAATGACTCGTTTTTTTTCTTGTGAATTTTTAGCGAAACTTAGGCACTGAAATACTTTTTCCGTCTTTTTAATTTTCGTAAATTTTTCTATTAAGAAATATTTCTTGTTTTGTGAAAACTAAAATTTTTGGAAAATTGTGACTTGAGTCGATTGACTTCCAATTGGAAATGACTTCCGTTCGCTTGGTAATAGCTGTTGAATAATATTTCTAGGTTTCATGAAAATTCATTAGAATTTAAAGATGATTTGCACTTAATCGAATTACGTTTAGAAACTAACCTTTTCTTGGCGGTTTCTCTTTCTAAATTTCGAAGAGAGGAAAAGAAAAGAAAAGTTATGGAAAAACGTTAACTTAGAGAAATTGTTTTTAGAGACAAAGATCTATTTAAAAATTGTAAATATTCGTAGGAGAAAAAATTGTATTTAATGAAATATTCCTCCAGTATTCGTAGGAGAATAAATTGTATTTAATAAGATGAAAATATAATTATCTTCTTATTAAATTATTGGTGTCAATACACCGGCGATCAATTAATCTAAACTTTATAAAATAACTTAAACTAAGTTACGTTTATAGAGCATAGAAATTGTGTCGTTTAATTATGCAGATCAAAGCAACCACATCCCTATTCACTCGTTTCTGAATCAAAGATCCCGACAGTATCGAAACTTTAGGTTGTCTCTGGCGGAAATTATTTGAAATTCTCCCAGTTTCCAATACATATCTGAGAAATCTCTTGGAATGAGGTTAAACTCTTTTCAACTTGAAAAATTTCTTCTATTTATTATTATTCAACACTTCGATCTGAAGTTTACAGGTTATTCAAGTTTATAGATTTTCAAGCATAAAAAGAAGATTTTTTTTATTAATTTTCGAGATTTATAATCTTTTTGAATTTCCATGTGACTTGTTTCTATTTTTGCTTTGTTTTTGTTGAAATTTTTTTATTAATTTGTAAACTGTATTAAATTTTGCAAAAAAATTAGTTTTTATTAACAGTGAAAATTTATTAAATAAAATTTATTTTTTGCAGAAAACTGGAGCAAGAATTAAAATCTATTCCAACTGTTGTCCACATAGTACAGACCGGCTGATAAGCATTTGCGGTAAAGCTGACACATGCATGGACTGCATTCGTGAACTGATTGCCACAATTAAGACTGTGAGTATTTATTTGCTAATTAATTATTCCGTGATAGTAATTTTCCCTGCTGGAAGATAATTTTCACTTTCTTTATGTATAAGTTTAAGATAAATGTAGTTATTAAGAGGACGTTGATTCAAGATTAATATCGATTAGAAAAAAGACAGGAGTAGGGAAATTTTTTTCTGGGTAAATCTTGAATATTTAGCCAAAAGGAGAAAGAAGAAATTTTAATTCAACGAATTAAGTAAATTATTCTCAATGGGTAAATTATAATCTCTATACAATTATCAAATTTCATCTTTAATTTTACAAACATTCTATTTCGTAATTACTTTTTTTCCTTAAAAATTGCTTCGGTGGTTCTTTTAAAATAAAACGTATATTGTTTCCTAATGTTATATTTTTTATTGTTTTTATTTTTTTATTGCTTTTATTTTGAATTTATGTTTGGAATTTCTTACCGAGAAGATGTTACAAAATTGTGATCAAAATTGAACTTTAAAAAATGTAACATTTAATTTTTCAGGCATGTACGTTAGGAAAATTTGAGAATTCAGGGGAAAGTGAGGACAAAATTAAATTGATCAGGGGAAATTAGGGAATTTTATCGAAAGTCTTGGAAAAATATCAAATTTTTATATCAAAGAAACAAAATTCTTGTTTTTTGTGTTAATAAACATTTTTTAAAACAAACTTTTTAAAATAATCGTGTCAGTCAATAATTATGGTAAAATATTTGATTATTGAAGTTTATTAAAAAATTTTATTGAAAATAATTTTATTACTTATAAAAATAATTGAATTGCATCGAAGGATTTATTAATATTTTAGAAAATAATTGAATTCTTTCAAAAAATGTTATTCAAAATTTAAAAAAAAATTGAATTGTTTAGTGAAATTATATTAAAATTGTATTGAAAACAAATTAAATTTTCGCAAAGAATTGTACTATTTAATAAATAATTGAAATTAAAATTATTAAAATTTTAGGAAATAATTGAATTTTTTTTTTTTGAAAAATTTTCTAACGAATTCAGAAAAAAATTGGATTGTATCGGGAAATTTTATTGAAAATAATTGAATTTTTGCAAAGATTTTTACTATTTATAAAAATATTTGAATTGTTTCGAAGGATTTATTAAAATTTTAGGAAATAATTGAATTTTTTCGGAAAATTTTATAACGAATTTAGATAAAAATTGAATTATTTCGTGAAATATTATTGAAAGTAATTGAATTTTTGCAAAGAATTTTACTATTTATAAAAATAATTGAATTGATTCGAAGGATTTATTAAAGTTTTTTGAAATAATTGAATTTTTTTGGAAAATTTTATAACGAATTCAGAAAAAAATTTAATTCTTTCGTGAAATTTTGTTGAAATAATTGAATATTTGCAAAAAAAATTTATTATTTATAAAAATAATTGAATTCTTTTAAAGAATGTTATTATTTATGAAAACAATTAAATTCTTGCATAGAATTATATTAACATTTTTGAAAATATAAACAATAATAATTAATTATTTACTTAATAAGTATAAGTGAATTTAAAAAATTATTATTTTTTATTTTTATTTTAAGGTAAAATCGTAAATTGTTACAAAGAATCTATTAGGAGATAAAACACAAAAGCGTAATTAATAAAAATAATGAGAATTGCAATATTGATTAAAATTAATAATAATTCTCTCCTTCACAGTCTCCACTGAAAGGTGTTAACAATCCGTACGATCCGCATAATTATGACGACTTCTACGCGGACGAATATGGCGGTTACGGAAATCCTGATGGAAATCAAGGCGGTAAATCGGGTGGATTTGGAGGAGGAATGGGCCGCGGAGGTGGCGGCGGCGGTGGTGGAGGCGGAGGTGGCGGAATGGGACAGCGAAGAGATGGACGTGGCGGCGGCGGCGGTATGCCGGACATGAATCGAGGCTTCCCACCGTCCCGCGGTGGACCACGTGGTGGCGGAATGTCCGGACCACCTGAGCGTAATTATGGTGGCAATTCGCGCGGCGGCGGTGGCAGTGGAGGCGGTGGAAACTACGAAGGAGGCCGAGGTGGATACAACGGAAACAGAGGTGGACCACCATATGGCGGCGGCGGAAACTTTAATGGCAAACCCAGTAAGGATAGGCAAAGTAAATGACAAACAGAATCCTTTAGAAATATCTTTTTTCAATATTCTACACTTTAGTATCAATTCAAGTTCATTTTTTTTTTAATTATCGAATATTTATTTTAATATTTAGTAAATATAAATCATTTTTTTTTATGTAATTTTTATTATTTTTGAAAAACACTCTCTTGTTGTTACGTATTTCATTTTCTTTCTCCTTTAATTTTTTTTACCACTGTTTCCTTTTTGATTTAAATTATTTTTTTAAATATTTTTTGCTGCTTAATTATAAGTAATATTCCGGTTGTTATTTATGTTATAAATTGAAATTTAACGAATTTTGGATTTTTGGTAGAAAGACAAAAAGCATTTTTTTTTAAGTTATTGGATTATTAATTGATAAATTTATTTAGAGAGTGTTAAAATAATTTTTTTATATTTGATACTTGAATGATGAATTCTCTTCTACTCACAAGTTAAATTGAATGAAAATTTCATTAGCATTTTCTAATGGATGCTTTAATGAACGCATTTTCAGTACAATTTTCTTCTATTTAATTAATTTTGTCTGAAATAATGTTTTTTTTCTTCTTTCCGTTGTAGATAATGGATGGGGTGGAATGCAAGGCGGAGGTTCAAATGGCATGGGAGGAAATTCCGGAATGGGAGGACCCATGGGCGGAAATCAAGGCAACCAAGGAAACATGTCCGGCGGAAACAAAACCAGTACACAAGTTACTATTCCCAAAGAAGTAAGAAATATTTTTGGCGAAATTATCTATTGTTTGCAAAAAGAAAAATATAATTGTTGTGCAATAATTGCAAAATTAATTAATTGCTTATAGATAATTTAACTAATAATTAATTAATTGCTTCTTCATAGAGTAAAGAATATATTTATTTATTTTATAATATTATTTTTATGAAATTGTTTTCTTTAATTGTACGATTCTCTTCTTTGTTTGCTTTTTGAGTTCGTAAATTAAACAAAATTTTTCTTTTTAGTTGGCAGGAGCCATTATTGGTAAAGGAGGAGCCAGAATTCGTAAAATCAGATCGGACAGTGGTGCCGCCATCACCATTGACGAACCTTTGCCAGGAAGTAATGATCGCATTATCACCATTACTGGATTACCGAACCAAATACAAATGGCTCAGTATCTTCTTCAGCAAAGGTAATTTCTTTTCTTCTTCTTCTTCTTCTTTTTACAATAGTTGCAAATTTGCAATAATTGCAAATTCTTTACAAAAAGAGAAACTAAAACAATTGTGGAAAATTTTTTCAATTTCGTTCGATAACTTTAAAAAAATGATTTTATATTTCTAAACGAGTGGAAAATACTTTTGTAATTTCATTATTAACTCATTGTTGATACTTTAATAGTTTGTAAAACGCTTTTATGAAAATCGCTACTTTTATGAATATACATCTTCAATATTTTTTGTAAAATGCGTTTGTCGTCGTCGTGAACTTTTGAAAATTCGTCTCCAATATTCACTATTATTTTAATATAACACTAGAATAATTATAATAATAATAAAAATAAAATTAATAGTAACATTAACAATAATAATATTATTAATTATTAATACTAAAAATGGTAAATAAAAAATAATAGTGAATATTCACGTTAATAATATATAATTAATATTTTTTATAAATTATTACATCTATAATCAGAATTATTTTCATTTTACTTTCTTAATGTCAATTTGGATATTGGATATTTATTCTAATTACTAGAAAAAAGAAGTACAAATATGAATCTATTTATATGAAAGGTTTTAAATAAATATATACAAAAAAGCTCTGAATTACAAATTGACTTTAAGGCATGACAACTAATAATCGTTCTTGTTTGTACTGTTTTGTATCTAAATCTACGATTTTTTTAAAAAAATTAAAAAAAATTTCATGCTCGTATTGTACAATAATCTTTAGGCTTTGTAATTAAAAAGGAAATGTTACTAAGAGTGCACATAGGCTAATCATTAGCATACGCTTTGCTTTAATTAAAAAAAATGGAATGTTAATTTGAAGATTATTTTTTTCATTGTGAAAAGAAATGATCTTGATATTTGCATAAAACGTGTCACATTGTCATAATCTCATCTTTCATGCAAAAAAAAACAACAATAATAATAATTTCAAACTAACTTATTTCTACTAACTGCTCGAAATGTGTGTATGTATTTTTTTTCTTCTCTCATTTTTACACTTGTGGAATGGTGAAGGAATTTAGCGAAGAAGACGAAGAAAGAAGGCACCTTGTTTGCATTTTTCTGGGGGAGAAATAATTAATAGTCCCGTTGTATGGAAGACTAGTGATTTTGTTGTTCTACATTGATGTAACAAAAAATCACTAATCATCCTACAAAGGCGCTTACAAACGTCGACTTCTGAAAAAAGAAATGCTTTTTGGAAACTAACATCATCCCTGCTGTGATTTGCTCAATCATCGATGCATCGCTCTTCATCCTATACTAATCGTTTTACATTTACTTTTTATAAATCGGTCTCAAACTTTTATAATTAGGATAATTTTATTTTTATGATATTTTGTTTTATTTAAATAAAATAAAATAAAATAAAATTTCAACGTTTAACAATATTACTCGTTTTTTGTAACAGGGCTGCAAGGAAATAATCGTGACTTTAATATAAAATTCCATACTATTTAAAAAATATTGTAATAATTTCTTGTTTTCGGAAAATTTTCTAATTTCAGATTTTCTGATTTTTAATTAATTATTAATTTAGAAGGGTAATTTTAAATTTTTAACTATAAATTTCGATTTAAAATATATTTTTTAAAGTATTTGAATTTTATATTAATAAGAAAATTAAAAGAAAAAGTATTTTTTAGTATAAATTTATTAAAATTTGTAAACTTTAAATTAATTTAACTTCAATAACAGCCCTGCTTTGATCTTTGTAAATTTTTTTTTATAGAAAACCGTTAATTCTCGTCTGAAATTGAAAAGTATCGACTATGAATAAATAATAAATTAGAAAATAATACGGAAGCGTTAAAAAAATATTTTTTAATTTAATTTTTACGAATTCTTTTAGTTCAAAATATTTTGCAAAATTCTAATAAATTGGAACAAAATACGGAAGAGTTAAAAGAACATTTTTGAATTTATTGTTTTACAAATTGTTTTAGTTTAAAATATTTTGCAAAATTCTAATAAATTAAAAGAAATACGGAAGCGTTAAAAAACCATTTTTGAATTTAATTTTTACAAATTGTTTTGTTCAAAATATTTTGCAAATTGTTTCAGTTCAAAATAATTTGCAAAAATCTAATAAATTAGAGAAAATGGAGAAAATACAGAAGCGTTAAAAAAGAATTTTTTAAATTAATTTTTACAAATTGTTTTCATTTTAAATAATTTGCAAAATTCTAATAAATTAAAAATAAATACAGAAGCGTTAAGAAAAAATTCTGAATTTAATTTTTACAATTTGTTTTAGTTTTAAAATATTTATCTAAAAATTCTAAAGTATTATTATTATTAATACATTTTAGAAAATTTATAAATTAGTAAAATTTACAAAATAATTGTATCTCAAAATTAAAAGAAAAAATACGTTAAAAATTTCTTGAAATTTTAAAAATAAATAAAATAATTAATTTTTCTTTTGCAGTGTACACGAGAACGCTGAGAACTACTAAAAAGGAGACGAATGGTCTGGCATGCGGGAGCCAAAGACGCGTTTGTAAAACATTTTTTAACAAGATTTAATTTCATATTCGACATTAAAGAAAGAGAAAAAAAAACAAAAAAGTAAAGAAACAAGAAGATTAACAATAAGACGATGAAAGGCATATCTGTGTGCATTTTTTGTACACATTTGTGTACATGGAATTAGATGTGCAAAAAGAAAAAAATCTTTTTGGTTTTTTTTTGACATTAAAAGAAAAAAAAACATTATTATGTTTATTGTTAACAATCAAACGATACTGACGATCGAAAAATTATTTTTTTTTTTTTTGGAAAAAAAGATACAATGTCAGTAGCATTGTAATTTATATAAAGAAATTACTGACTTATCTTTTTTTTTTTTTTTTGACGTATCGGATATGACTGATATCGTGGGAAATCTTATATATATATATGATTAGTTTAGATTATTGTTCACTTTTTATTGTCTGTCACCATGTTTTGATTATGAAAAAAATCCAAGAATAATTTTAATTGTCACATGATGAACACATTTTTTTTCTTTATATACATTTTTTAAGAAGAAGAAAATTAAACGTTTCCTTAAAGAACATTTTTTTGTTTCCTTTTTTGGAAAAAAACATTTGTGTTTTTGAAATTTCTATTTCATTTTCAAAACATATATTTATATAATTATTTTCTTTTTAGAAATATAAAAATTACTATTAATATTAATTGTTTCTTTAGAAAAAAAAAATTTTCTTTCATTGAAAATATAAATCAGAATATTACTGGTAATTTAATTAAATAATTTTTTTTTTTAAAGAAAATATCTTCATTTTCCGAAGATTTTTTTTCTTGGGTAAAAGAAAATTTCGAAATATCGAGAACTGTATGCACTCTAACTTCAAAAATTAAAATAATTCATTACTAATTGGAGTTGAGGAAAAAAGTACAAAATCAAGTAAAAAGAAAATTAAAGACTAATGAGAGAGCGCTACATGAAAAAAAAAAAAAAATAATAAATAAACTGTACATAAAGAGTAACGTGTCTTTCTCTCCTCTTATTATTATCTTTTAATAATTATTATCACAGTTTTTATTCATTGTGATAAGAATTTATTATTTTCATAATCATTATTATTATTCAATGCAATATAGTCTAACTAATAAAAATTTCTCTCTCAAAATAGAAATAAATTAGCATCATTATTTAAAAAAAAATGTATAGCTGATTAAAATTGTAATATAAGCAAAACAAAAAATATTCGATATAACAATTAATCTTTCTCTGTCATCTTGAAATTAACGTTATTATACATTACATATAATGAAGAGTAGAGTGTATATCTCACGGTATTTTAGAACGTAGGAGTAAATCTTGAATGAATTTTTAGTATAATAATTATGAACCCCCCGTTGAGAAAAAATAATTAAGGATGTTCAATACCAGAGCTAATTTCAAATTAAAAAAGAAGAAACTGTATAAAAATACAGAAATATAGAATTTAATATACAACTAAATTATTTTTAGAAATAAATTTCTATTGAAAGATGCATTAATTGATTTTTTAATTGTTACTTTTCAATTTTTAGTATTTTTGGTTTGATTTATTTTGGTATCGAATTTCCTTAAAGAAGCCACTGCTTAGAAAGAAAAAGGAGAAAAAAAATAAGTGATACAATCAGATTCGTGTCTAAATCTAACATTTGTAAATAGCATTAACGTAAATTATAAATGTTGATCGTTAATTATAAAAGATAGAAATTACCCTGAAACTGATTGAAATCATAAATGTTTCCGATTTTTATACCTTGAGAAAATATTTGTCTTTGACAAGAAATGTCGAATAATTTTTAAGAGACTTTTCCGTTTTGCTTTGAGGCAATTTCGCTTCTCTCCCTTCTGTTTTTTTTATTATTATTAAATATTCGTTATTATTATTACAATATTTTTAGGTCAAACTATAAAAAAAGGGCATTTATACTCTTAGAATACTAAGAGTTTCTTTTCATTAAAAAAAAAAAAATTTCCTTTGTAGTCTCAGTTAAAAGAGAAAAGCATAGTGGTTATAAGTTAGTTTGCTTTTACTTTAAGCTTTCTTTTGCATTTTCTTTTTTTAATTTTTTTTTTTTACATATACATATATAATTAAAAATACATAATTAATTTCAATAAACAGTATACACATTGTTAAAACTTTGTGTAAAGATAAAATAAATAATGAAAGCGTGCGCCTACAATTTTATTGCTAAGTGAGAGAATGAAAGAAGAAGAAAGAGAGAGAGAGAATGAATTTACAAAAAAAAAGAAATGAGCGGAGAAAATGAAAAATAAAATAAAATGAAAAATACATAGGAGAACTGTTTTTTTGATGAAGTTGAAGAAAAATATAGATTTGCAAAACCCGCATGTAACACGACACGTATTCTTTAAGATATACAGTTTACGATCATTTGTAATGTATACTTTTTATTTGTCAAATAAAAATTAGTACAAACCATGAGCATCGGGGTTTTCTTATTTTTTTTCGTCCTGTAATTGAGAATAATTGATTTCAATTTAAAAACAGTTTTGCTAAAATGTTACTCGCGCGAAATTCGGTATTTCATTTATTACTATTTTGCAAATTAAGAAGAATTTTTTATTTTCAAATATTAATTTCAATTTTTCAATAATTTCAGATTCAAAATTTAAAAAAAATTAATTATTAACTACATAATTAATTATTATTATTATTTGTTGATTTCCAAAACTTTAATGAAAATTCATCGTAGGAATTCAATTATTTCGAAAAAATTTGATTAAATTCTTTATGAGAATTGAAATATTTTTAATACAATTTCAATTGAATTCCTCGAAAAAATTCAATTATTTTTTAAATATTTAATACAACTTTTCGCAGAAATTTATTTTAAAAGGATTTTAATAAAGTTTTGAGAGAATTTATGAGAATTGAATTATTTTTATTATTAATAAAATTCTTCGTAGGAATTCAATTATTTTAAAGAATTTTATTAAAATTCTTGGCAAAAATTTTATTATTTTTAAAAACTTTAATAAAATTCTTTAAAAAAAACAAATTTAATTAAATATTCTGCAAAAATTTAATTCCTTATTTAAATAATAAAATTCTTCGCAGAAATTCAATTATTTTGACAAATTTTGGTAAAATTCTTTTTAAGAATTCACTTATTTTTAATAGGTACAATTCTAATCAAATTCTTACCAAGATTTCAATTATTTTAACAGTTAATAACTTTTTTCGAAAGAATTAAACTATTTAAATAAATATTAATTATAACATTCTGCGCAGGAATTCAATTATTTTGAAAAATTTTGATTAAATTCTTTATGAGAATTGAAATATTTTTAAGACAATTTTAAATGAATTCTTACGATTTTTACCAAGATTTCAATTATTTTCATAACAAATTACTTTCTTTATAAAGAGTTTAATTATTTAAAAAAATTATAATAACATTTCTCGAAAAAATTCAATTATTTAAATAAATATTAATTATAACATTCTTCGCAAAAATTCAATTATTTTCCAAAATTTTGATTAAATTCCTTATAAGAATTTTTTAATAGTTTTAATATTAATTTAATTAAATTTCTCTAGTAAAAATTAACTTATTTTTAAATTTTTCACAAGAAATTTTATTAGGATTTTGAAAAATTTGCATAAGTTTCTTTATAAGAATTCAATTATTTCAGATTTAAAATTATAAGAGAAATAAAATAGAAAATAAGACAAATATTTTTAATTGAAAACAATTTGGTTTAATTAATTTTTGCTTTTTTTAATCTTCAAAGCATTAAATTAGAATTTCTTTAATTTTAAAATTGAAAACATTAAAAAGAAAAATTATAAAAAAATTAGGAAACAAATAGCAAACAAAAGAACTAATTACTGCTAAGCCACAGATTATCGAAATACAACGATTATTAATTCTGATTTTTTAAAGAATTTTGCAAATAATTAAATAATCGCATAAAATTTTATTTTTGGTTTGGATAATTGTTTTTTATAATTTACTTAAAATAAATTTCAATAGGAAAAGGTACGAAAAAGGTAAATAAAAAGTAGTTTTATTTTTATCTATTTTCCGTTTTTATTCGCTATATATTTAAATTACAAGGCATTGGAAAATTAAAGATGAACAATATTTTTAGTGCAGTCTATCTAAAAAAAAATATGTTATTTATCTTTGAAATATCGTATTTCTAATAAGGTACACTTTGCTTTTTATGAAGCAATTCATTTCTCTTTTATTCTCGAAAATACAATTTATTTTCAAGTACTAAAAAACAAAAATTTTGTTTAAAAAACAAAAAAGTTATTAAACCTATAAATTGTAAAGTACAATTATAGAAATAGTACTAATTCAAATGGTTTCCTTGTAATTTTTCAAAAAAAAAGTATTGAAAAATAATTTATTACAAACTTAGAATATAAAGAAAGTTTTTCTTTTGACCGAAATAGTAAAAATAATAAATAATTTTCGGTGTCATTTCTTAACATTAGATTTGAATACCAATTATTCAAAAGTATAAAAAATAGATTTTTCAAAAAGGAATGGTTAAAAAAATTATTACTTTTTCTATAATTCTTTCTCTTTGTCCGTAGAAGTCGATTTTTTTTACAATAAGAAATTTATGTCTTGTTTTTCAAATAGTCGAAAATGTTCTTAATTAAATTGTCAAGAAAATTTGAAGAAATAGTCTTTTCGCAAAAATAATTTTATAAATTATTAATTATCAATTATCAATATAACTATAGAATATTTAGTTAACAGTTAACGATAAATTGTAATAAATTACATAGTTGAGAATAATTTCTAAACTAATTATTAATGAACTTAACAGTTATTTTTTTAATAAATTTAATAATTATTTAAATACTTTGATAATTTTATAAATATTTAAATAATTCGATAATCAATTCAATGTATAAATAATCAAATAATTACAATATTAAAAGTTACAAAAATTATTTGAATACGTTTGGAAAAATTTCGAACGTTCAAGTGAACGATTTTTTTTCAATCTAATCATTTTCATAGATTTGTCACCGAAGTAAAAATGAAAATCAAATTCAATTTTGAAACTAAAAATTATGTTTTAATACGTAATGTAAAATTATAATTCGAAACTATAAATTCGAAAAATAAATTCATTTGAACGTTCAGATCTTTAAGAACATATTTGAATAATTTAATAATAAGTTAATTAAATGATTATTTAAATAATCGAACAATATTTTTACTCTCCCTAAAATTTTGTAGAAACCTACAAATTTTAGGGAGAATAAAAAAAATTGATTTATAAATTTAATTTATTTGTTTTGAGAAAAATCGAAATTTAATTTGTAAACTTCCTTAGAAATGTGAATTGTTATTGTTTAGCAGAAGAAAGGCATTTTTCGTTGATAATTGCAGGTACATTAAATGGGTAAATTGTTTAAATTGACTTAATTAGTTAAATTAGATACGATATGTGGCGTATCAATAAATATTAATAGAAAATATAAAAACTTGCTTGATACCGAGTCTTTGGCTCCCAGTAATTATCATCGAACGAAGGCACTGGTTTATTAGTTTTTCCTTTTTTAAAAAAGTAAAATCTGACCAACATCAATGAATTAAAAAAAAAATGTCTTATCATATCAAGGCCACTGATTTACTTCGTCAATTTGACGAATAACAAAATATTGTTGATTTCTCTTTCAAAAATATTAAATAATTTGAATGAAACTGAAGTATTTTTAAAAACGAAAAGGAATTTTTTTTCAAGTGAATTCATCTTTAAGTTCACAAATTTCTTCCAAAAAATCATTTAGATAAATGATTTAAATTTGAAGCTAACATAATAAATATTGTCTTCTTTTTTTTCTTCCGAATTAACTTTTTCTTAGAAGACAGTTAGCAATTAGGCAAAAAGAATAAATATCGTTTGACTTTTTCGTTTCTAAAAAATTACGAACTTCAGGATGATTAATTTGAGAGAACGATAATTAAGTTCTCGTTGGTAAGTAAATAACTAATTTTTTTTTCTCTATCTCAAAGCGTACATTTGTGGTTTTCTTTGATTAGGTTGATAGTTAGTTTTTTGTACTGGACTTACCCTACGTGGTTTATCATTTCCAGGGATATTTGTTACTATTTCACTTGAATTAACTTGAACATTTGAATTATGTCCCAATGACGATGTTGACGATGTTGTTGATGTTTCATTTCTCTTGCGAAATTTCGTGGAATATTTATAAAAATCAGACATCTCAAATGGTTTGGTAACTTCACGATATGGCTGATATTTACCCTGTTGAACAATCGTGTGATTTGTCGGTGAATTAAATGACGTTAATATTGGATCATTTCCATTATCAAGTGTTGATGGTTTTGATTCAGCTGGTATTTCAAGGACTTTTGGCCTCTCGTGATAATGATTTTGTGACAATGATGAATAATTGCATTGCGATGATTGCTCGTCGAGTGGCAATTCTCTTGGTCGACGTGGTGGTGGTGGTTGTTCATTTTCACGAATTATTATTGGAATTTCGGATGATTGTGATAATAATGATGATGAGGAGGAGGATAATAGTGATGTTGAGGGTGGTGGTGGCGGGGGAGGTGGTGGATGACTATTTTGTGATGGTCGACGTACGAGATTTGGAATAAATGATCCTGATGGTGAAATTGGAATTATATTTGGACTGCAACGTGAATCGAGTGATGTCTCATACCATTCTTTCTCCTTTCCCTTTCGACTTAAATTGTCAGCCTGATCTCTCTCGCTTAAATCGTGACCAGCGTGCCATGTTTCAACGCTGCCTAATGATTGCGTGCGAATTAGGATTCTATTCGATGGCGTGTGTTCCGATGAATTTATTGGGACCTGAGAAGGAAATTTAGAATTTTTAATAATAATTTGCACCAAAATTCAAATTTCTAAAAAAGGAACAAAAAAAAATTTTAAAGTTGATCGTACAGAACTTTAGGGACATTAATTATCAAGATTACAAGTATTTACAGAAAATTTTAATTAATTTATGTTAATTAAATAATTTGAGTTGCATGATTGGTTACCTCCACGTGGTGCATCTCGGAAACAATGTCATTGAAATGTTACATTATTTTTAATTACTTTTTAGTTTAAATAAATAATAGAATCAAATGTTATTATCAGTTTCGATGAAATTGGCTAAATACCAATCACTTTTGAATTGATACAATCGGCATAAATAATTCAGGATTATTTATCAAATTTATTTATTATAATTATCTAGTTTTCAAAATAAATTCTACTTTTACGCGAAAGTTTCTAAAAAATCAAAACATAGAAAATTGTAAATGAAAAGGAAATAAAAAGGTAAAATGAACTATTTTCTCACCTGTGATGAATGCTGTCGCGGTAGAATAATATTTTTCGATCCCGACGCAACAGTATTGTAGCGAGTTTGTATTTCCGGATTTGGATAATATTGTGAATTCGTTTGCTTTCTTCGATCGAGACTTCCAAAACGATCGGCATTCTGCTCCTCGGGACAGAAGACAATTTCATCGTCGAGTCTCATCCAGTAGCCAGGCGGAAGGTAAGTGTCAACATTTGGTTGCATTGCCGAATGATGCTTTCTCTCGATACCGCCAATTGTTGCATGATCTCGCTCACGACGATGACGCAATGGCGCTTTTCCATAAGATTGATAGTCAATCGTCTGCTCATATCGCGATGGTGAATTGTATTCACTCTCGTAATATTGCGTTTGAACCATACGACGTTGAGAGTCATTATCCAAATGCCTGAGAATTGATTTCTCCGAATATGATGGACTGTGCATTTCGAGTTTTTGCATTTGCATCTGTCGATATTGCCTCTCCTCCTCGGTAAATGTATTTGGAACGGGACGATACGGTCGCTCTACGTCCTGATAAAAATTCTGTCTCAATGGACTTGTACTTGCGCCCTGTGAATATGTACGAGAGCGAAATTGATCGGGTAGAATATAAACATTGTTATTCACGTTCACGTCGTGTTCGTGAAATTTGGTATTATTTCGTCTCACGTCCACTGGACTCGCGGCAATGTAATTTGTACGATTTTGATTTGAATTACTCGAGGAACCCGGTTGCATGAACTGATGAGTGTCGTGCTCTTGAAATTCTCGTGAATAAACATTGTAATTGTGCTCGGGACCCAAGGGACTTAGACTTATTCCACCTTGGTCTTGTAAACTTCCTCTTACTTCGTGTTTTATGCTCTTCTCTCGTCCTTTGGAATTAAAATTCGTGGAATTAATATATAAATACGTATAATTAATATAGTAATTCGTACAATTAGAGGGTTGCCACAAACAATGTAATTTTGTTTTTCCCTGATTTCCAGACAAAATTTTCACTTTTTCCCTGACCCTGAAGAATATTTTGATTCACTCCAAAAATTATTAGATACTCAAAAAAAAAAATGTTCTATTACATTTATTCACGAATTTCTTTAATTGGAAAATTATTCTAAAACATCAATAACTTCTTTTTTCAATAAATATTTAATCATTATCATTTTTCCATAGGAATTAAAATTTTAATTCAAACCTATTGAAATTAACAACTTTTCAAAATTTAATTGTAAAACATGAGGAAATAGATCACTCCGAGTCTTCGACTCGGAGTAATCTTTTCCTTCATGTTTTAAAATAAATTTAAGATGACAGAGTGATAAAATCATTATTTTATAAGAATATTGTATAAAAATATTTTTATAAGAATATTATAACTATAAATTCAAATTTTCAATGATTTTAATTTGAACCCTTTTCAAAATTCAATTATTTCTAAAAATTCAAGCTATAATGCTTTTAATATTCAATTATAATTTAAAATTTTAAGTAAAATTCATTTTTTAATCAATTTTTTATGAAAAACTTTCGAGAATTGAATTCTTTAAATACAAAAATAATTTATTAAATAATTGAATATTTCTTAAAATTTCCCTGACTTTTCCCTGAATTTCCAGACCTGTGGCAACTCTGAATTAATATTTAGACTGGTTAAGAAGCAAAAATACCTAAATTATCCAGAGGTGGTCGAGGTTTCTTCGTCCGATGCTTCGAATTATGGGAGAGTGATTGTGAATTTTGAAAATGAATGCCTTGAGTGTGTCGTGCCGAGGAGCCATGACTTTGCCTGATAAAATTGAGACAAACATCAATATCTTGAAGTCTCTGTTTGCTTTGCTGATAAATTAGTCGATGTTTCCTTCGTACAGCTTTGTTTTCCGTCGAGTCGTTTATTATCGCCAGGGCAGCTTCTTGAATTCCAATTTGTACTTGACGTTCTAACTCCAATTTTGATTCCTCCTAAAAATAAGGGACGAATTAGAAACGTAAATAGGAAAAAATGTAAATAAAAATTCCTACAAAATAAAGGACGAATTACAAACGTTTATAGGAAAAATTGTAAATAAAAATTCCTAGAAATAAAGAACGAATTACAAACGTAAATAGGAAAAATTGTAAATAAAAAATTACAAATTGCATAAAAAATTCAGAAAATTCTAAAAACAGAAAAAAATAGAAAAATAGAATAAATAAAGGAAAAAAATAGATTTTTGGCATGTTTTTTTTAAACTTACGGCTTCGTTTGTCTTTAATTTATTTATCATATTCTGAGGATAGGTGAACGATGTTCCAACACGTTTGCGGAATGTTGGAGGGCTTTCTCCCGGCTCGAGGGGAATTTCCGGTGGCAGAACACCTGTCAATTCTGCTTCCTCGATACATAGGGTCTTCAACTCATTATTCTTCTGAGCGAGCTTGTCTTGAAGTGCCTCTCGACGTTGACGAAGCCATTGCAGCCTGCTCGAAAATGACTCGTCTGTCGATGGCCCTGACACGCCCTCGGTTCCTGCCATCACTATATTAATAACAATAAGAGAAACTCCATTATTTCTTGTAAAATTCATTCATTAAATTCAATTTAGATGTTTCGTTTCAAATCGTAGTCTAAGAAATTCGACTAATTGTATACAATCAAATGTTATTACAGCCATAATATATATAAATAATAATAACAATAATAGTAATGATAATAATAATAATAATAATAATTAATAGTAACAATAATAACAAGAATAGTAATTAGAAATAATAGTTAATAGTAATAATAATAATAATAATAATTTCGAATAACAAAACAAGTTCCTGAACCGTTATACAAAAAAAATTATAAGAATAATAATAAATTAACTTACCCATATTCTTAGCCCACTTTATGACAACTTCCAAATTTGTATTGTTGTTAAATAAACATTAATTTATAAAGAATTTAATTCTTTATACACTTCTTTTGTACTATGACATTGTTGATCATGATAAAAATAAGGATTATTCCCAAATTCTCTTCAATACTTCTCCATTGTTTGTTTTGATTTTTTGGAACTCACTTTGAACATATTTTTATTAATTTCACTGGTAATAACTATTGTAAAATGATAATTATTTATTTATTTATTAAAAAACAAAAACGAAAAAATGATCGAAAACGTCAAAGGGCGTTGAGGTTACTTTGTTTTATAATTCCTTATTTCCTTTTGAATACGGTTTAAAAATTGAAATTTGGCAAGATAAATGAGAATGCATGTTTTAATGAAATTGAAATAATAAACAAGGAGATCATTTCTAATCTTTAAATAAAAGAAAAATATAAAAAAAAATATAATTAAATTCACTCCACCTTTTTATGACGCGTCCCTGATTAGAGGTTAGGTAACTTGTTACATACTCGTGAAGTTAGTTAACAAACGTGGTATCTCATAAAAAAAGTTACTTTTTTCTAGGTCATTTTTTTTACATTTGACCAAGAGCTTTTTGAATTATTTACTGAATATGAATTTTGAATTTTTTATTGTTGTTTTTGTGCGTAAAATTGTTTAATTTCGACTGTTATTAATCATTTTTCGGGTGGAATAATACTTTTTTTTAAATTAAAAAAACATAGTCGACGTACTTCACTCCGTGTAACAGATTTTTTTATACTATTGTTGCCAACCTTCGCGGGGAATTTAAATAAGAGGTCAGATTTTAGATATAAGACAAGAAGAACTATTTATTAGTCAACTTGTTGACTTTATCTTTTTTTCTACCGAAAACTATACTGTGATATAATTTTAAATCAAAATTTATTTCATTTATTTTAATAAGTTTAATAATAAAATTCCGTTTTTCAAAAATTGGTAAGTAGTGCCAACTGTTATAGTTCTCCGCCATCTTTGTTAGAAGTCATAACCTAAAAAAAAAGACAAAACGTCAAACGTCAAAGACTCAAAGTGAACAAAAATCGCAATTGTTTTAATGAAACAATTGCATTATATATTGATGATAATTGAAACAAATAACATTTAACAATGCAAGAATCAACGGTAAAGTGAAAAAAGAAGTGTTAAGCTTTCTTGTTTAATAAAGTATTGATATATAACGAGATGAATATCTGTAGACATTTACGTCAGTTTTGATGTCCGAGATATATCTCTTGATATCAGGGTCCAGGTTCGTGACTGTTAAGGCCTGTTAAGTGAATAAGTGTTGATAAGTGACTACTAATTTAACTCTTTATTGTGGTTATTACAGCGACCTAAAAATCAAGAAATTGTTTCGATACTTGTGTGTTTCTTGTGTTTTAAGACATTGAACAAAATTTTAGAAGATTGCTAATCCTCATCATGAATCATTGTCAATAATTGCCTCTCCAGTGATAAAAAAAATAATTGAATAATCATGTTTTGGTAGCTGACGCAATTAACATGAAACCACACCGTGAAGAAATGGATGAGGAACATCCTGTCAGAGAGGCTAATAAGATTTGTGGGGTCTGTGGTGATCGTGCTCTTGGATACAATTTTAATGCAGTCTCCTGCGAAAGTTGTAAGGCCTTTTTCAGAAGGAACGCTCTTCGAAAAAAGGTATTTGCCTCTTGAAAATGATTATTTATTAAAAATTAAAAATAAGTTTAAATCAAATTGTGACTTGAAAATATAATAACAAAAAATTAAAGTTAAACATGTATGTAAATAAGTATATAAGTACTAATAATTTTACATATTACAATTACAATAATTTTAATTACAATATTTAAATTGTAATAATATTTAAATTACAATAATATTTAAATTAATTTTTAGGACTTTCGCTGCCCTTTCACGGAGAATTGCAATATTTCTCCAGTAACTCGTCGTTTCTGTCAAAAATGTAGACTCGACAAGTGCTTTAATATAGGAATGCGAAAGGAATACATAATGTCCGAGGAAGACAAAGTATTGAAACGACAGAAAATTGAGCAAAATCGTGCAAAAAAGCGACCAAATCGCGACGGTTTGAAAGTGACAAAAATGAAGAAAGAATCAATGGACGAATTGAATTTCGATAATGATACATCGGCTTCAATTGCTTCGGTAGTCTCAACAGGTTCAACAATCACAGAAACATATTTTTGGGAATCCGACCGAAAATACACAGATCTCGACGCAAATCGACAGTCAGTTATTGATAGTATGAGTCCAGTACCTGCAGCAAGTGTTCCAAGTCCTTTGAGTCCTCCGGAAAATTTAGATATCGCTGGTTCGAAAACTCTCGAAATGTTAAAAGATTCATACAATTCATCGCCAAGTTATCACGAACTTAGTCCTCGTGCTAATACAAATCAATCCATCAAGATAGTAACACCACATGTTGATAAGAAAACATCACCAGTTCAATGTACGACAGAAGAAAATTTAACTACATCACCAATCAAAGAGAATTTAATAAATAAGAAAATTCAAAACGAAGAGAATGGGAAAATAAAATATTCTGAATCATGTTCCCAATGTACTCCAATCTCATGTTCTAGTAATAGTACCAATAATAATAATAATAATAATCTACCAATCGCAAAGAATTGTCATATAAAAAATTCCAATATTGCCATGAAAATCTCACAGGATCCGGAATTAATTTCAAAAATGGTTAATAATCCGCATTTATTGTCGAAAATATTTATGAATCAGGATGTTTTAATGAAAATTATCACCGATCCAGAGACATTGGGGAAACTTACGGAAAATCCGGATGTATCGCAACTTCTTCAGGAGAATGTCATCGATTCGGAAAATGAAAATATTGAGGTATCAAAGGACGAGATTATTGATCATAATGATCCAGATATTCACGAGAATTGTGATAGTCAGGATATAGATGGGCAAAATAATCAAATTGAAAATCCAATACTAACGAATTTGATTACAAATAATAGTCCGGATGAGGAGAAAATTCATATAGATGAATCGAGCTCGAAAGATTGGAACAAAATGTCAGACGATGTTACCAAAGATGTTCTACAAGAAGTTCAGAGGTAATTTTCTTTCACAGTTATATTCTTGTAAATAGTAAAATTTCAGTAAAATAAAATTCTTTTATTTTAAATTAATTAAAGGAAAATAAATTCTTTTATATTAAATTAAATTCTTACAGATTCAAAATTTAAATAATTCACTTATTAAGTACATAATATTAAATATTCTTGTTTATTATTATTCAAAAATTTTAATAAATTAATTTCTCGAAAGAATACAATTATTTTTAAAAATATTATTTAAATTAAATTATTTTCAAGAATTTGAATATGAATTCAATTATTTTCGACAATTTTGATAAAATTCTTTTAAAAAAATCATTATTTTCAAAATTTTAAATAAAATTCCTTTAAAAAGATCAATTATTTTCAAAAATTCAGATAAGATTCTTTGAAGCAATTGGATTATTTTTATGAATTGTAAAATTCTCCGCAAGAATTCAAATTATTTTCATAAATAATAAAATGTTTCGGAGAAATCAATTATTTTCAATACAATTTTAATAAAATTTCTCGAAAGAATACAATTATTTTTAAAAATATTATTTAAATTCAATTATTTTCAAGCAATTTAATATAAATTCAAATATTTTCAACAATTTCGATGAAATTCTTTTAAAAACATTATTTTAAAAATTTTTAATTAAATTCCTTCAAAAAATTCAATTATTTTAAAAAATTCAGATAAAATTCTTCAAAACAATTGAAAAATTTATTATGAATTGTAAAATTCTCCGCAAGAATTCAATTATTTTCATAAGTAAGATATTTCTTAGCAAGAATTAAATATTTTCATAAATAATAAAATGTTTCGGAGGAATTCAATTATTTTCAATACAATTTTAATAAAATTTCTCGAAAGAATACAATTATTTTTAAAAATATTATTTAAATTCAATTATTTTCAAGTGTTTTAATAAAAATTAAATTATTTTCAACAATTCTGATAAAATTCTTCTAAACAATTCAATTATTTTTATAAATTGTAAAATTTAATTGTTCTCAAAAGTTTTTAATAAAGTTCTTTGTAAACTTCAATTATTTTCAAATTTTCAATTCAAATTATTTTAAAAAATTACATTATTTTTACGAAATTTAATGTAATTCTTAAAAGAATGCATTTATTTACAAAAACTCTAATAAAATTGTTTAAAAGAATTTCATTTTTTATCAATAATTTTAATATGATTTAATAGGACAATTATGAACTACAATTAATAATAAAGACGATTATTTTAAAAACTTAAAAGAAATTCTTAATAAAATTCAATTACTTTTTAAATTTTCAGTAAAAATTATTTGAAAAAACTCCATTATTTTTAAAAAAAATTGAAATAAATTCTTCAAAACAATTTAATTATTTTAAAGAATTTTAGTAAAAATCTTGTTAAGAATTATATTATTACAATTTTAATTACATTTTCTCGAAAGAATTCAATTATTGAAAAAAATGTTGATAATATTCTGGAAATAAATTAAATTATTTTCAAATTTTTTGATAAATACTTTGCAAGAAATCAATGATTTTCAGTATACACTAATTTGAAAATTGAAAACATTTAAAAAGAAAAATTATTTCAAAAGTTAGGAAACTAAAAACCAAACAGCAACTAACTTCAAACTGCGAACAGATTACTGGAATACAACTATTATTAATATAGATTAATTAAATTATAATAACAAATTCTGTGTTCTTTTTGAACGTAAATTTTAATTGTGAAATTTTTCGTTTTTTAGATTGCCAATAACTCCGAATTCGATGGAATCAATTCTTTGCAAAGCGATAAAATTGGAATTTTTTGCATTCTCTTCACTTGGGGCAAATCTGAACAGTCGTGAATTAAACGACTCAGAAAGAGCAAAATTAAACGAATTAATAGTTGCCAGTAAAGCTTTACACGCACCTTTAGACGATGACATTTCGTCTATAATTGGCGATGAATATTTATTCCAGGTAATTATTTTTTTGTTGTTGAAATTTTGACAGAATTAAATTTAATTCGCACTTTTCATTGTTAGCATCTATTTTTGAAGGGAAATATTATTTACAAAAAAATGATAATTAAAGATTTTTTAATTAAATAAAATGTTTTTGAAAATTGAAAAGTTAATTTTAAATTAAATTGGAAAATATAATTTTCTTTCTCTGTTTTAGGGAATTGGGAGTCAATTTGATCCGGCATTGCTTGATGTAATAAATTTGACGGCAGTGGCAATAAGGCGTTTAATAAAAATGTCGAAGAAAATAAGCGCATTTAAAAATATGTGTGAGGAAGATCAATTGGCATTGTTAAAGGGTGGCTGCACTGAAATGATGATTTTAAGATCGGCCATTAATTACGATCCCGATAAGCATGTTTGGAAAATTCCTCACACACAGGAGAGAATGTCAAATATAAAAGTCGACGTTCTCAAGGAGGCGAAGGGCAATTTATTTGACGAGCATACGAAATTTTTCCACTCCTTCGATCCCCAATGGAAGGACGAGAATATTATTTTAATCCTCAGTGCCATTGCTCTTTTCACACCCGAGAGACCGAAAGTTGTTCATTCCGATGTCGTCAAATTGGAGCAAGTGAGGCACTTTTATATTTTAAATTTAAAGAAAATTTAAATTCAAAAAAGAAATTTCAATTTTAATTATTGAACTAAAATTATTATTAAAATTCCAATTTTAGTTATTGAATTAGAATTATTTTTAATATTCCAATTTTAATTATTGAATTAAAATAATTATTAAAATTAGTGAATTAAAATTGAATTTTAATCGCTGTTCTGTGTTTGTTTCAGAACTCGTACTATTATCTTCTGAGACGATATCTAGAAAGCATGTATCCGGGATGCGTGGCAAAGTCAACATTCTTAAAATTAATTCAGAAGATTTCCGAGTTGCACAGATTGAATGACGAAGTTGTGGGTGTGTACTTGAATGTAAACCCATCCAGTGTAGAACCCCTATTAATTGAAATATTTGATTTGAAACAATAATTTATAGTCATCAGAGTCGCACTTCAAATAGTTGAAACGTTCCGTAAAGTAAGTCAAACAACAATTTTTTATATTATTTAAAAAGACAAAATTACCATCATTAGATTTTCTCCATCTTATTTATTTTTTTTTCTCATCATCTATACAATTTAAAATTTCCTACTTTCATTTTCATGGAAAACAAGAAAAGAAATTAAGAAATTAAAAATTAACATTTTTAAATGAAAATTAAAAAATTTCATAACTTTGAATAATTTTCGTACTCGTATTCGTTTTTGTTTTTAAATTTTTTTCAGATTTCTAAATATTTAATTAGTATAAATATTAAAGATCAAAGTTGTTAAAGATTGATAAAAGGAGTTTTTATATATTTTCTTGTTTATATATATAGATAATTAAATTTTATCATAATACGCACTATTGCAAAAAAATAATGTTAATTTTTTAAGGCAGACAAATTTTTTCATCACCATTAAAAATCGAATAGTAATGCAAAAAAAAAGTAAAATAGTGAATTAACTACCTTGGTGAATGAGAGAATGAGTGAAAGAATCGAAATTAAAAAATTGTATTATAATGATTACCGCACTGTAATCAAAAGTTGTGATATCGTCTTATGAAATATATTTTTTTCAAAATATATTTTTAATGACTTTTTTAAATTAGATGATTTAGTTTTAATTTAATTTAATTTTGATAAATTAACTTTTAAACACTTATTTGTGTTTATTTACTTTTATTAAAACAAACACCTTTTTTAGTTTACATTTTTTTGATTTTTATAAATATTCATAAAAAAAAATCTATTGCATAATTTATAATAGAAATATAATTTTCAACTTGGAATGTTAATATAATATTTATATTACACAGGATTCTAATTTTTTTTTAAAAATATTTCTTTAAATGTATAATTTTCTTATAATTATTTTTTGATCTTATTAATAATCAATTCTTTTTTAACATAAAATTTTATCATTTTTTTACAACTTTAATTTCGAAGAATTCATTTCTTAATTGTATATTTTTTTTCAAAATTTCGCAAGGTGAAAATAATAGATATTATAAAAATATATGTAGAAATTTATTTTCGTTTGATATATATTTCTTTTATTTTAGAGGAAAATATATTTTTTTTTGTGATTATTAAATAAATTTAAAAAGTTTAGAAATATTAGCAATTATTACGTTTATAATGATAGATAACGTCTGCATTGTTTTCGTATATTTTTTTAACTGAAGAACAGTTGATTTTTTCCGCTGCAAGATAACAGGCGCCCCAAGCAGACGAGGTCGTTAATAAAAGAAGAGTCGATTCATCGATGATTTGTCCTTTATCAATTTGATCGATAAAGCCTTTTTTCATGAATTTCCATGAATTCCACACCGATCCCACACAAACTATTTTCAATCCACCTTCAGCTAATTTCAGATCCTGTAAGAAGAACAATTTTGTAAGTTTTTAAACAATAGGAATTAATATTATTTTTTATATTTTGATTTTATTATTAATTAATTAATTTATATAGTGAATGTAAATTATTATTTACTAACATTGTGTGCTTTTTTGTAAACAGCTTCGACATGTTTGGCGAGAATTTTACCAGTGTCTTCAAAAAGCAAGAGACAAAGTTGATCAGCCTTTTCGCAGCCAACGACGATTTCCTTGGTGAAGAGGGCGAATTGACTCTTTTGAAATTCACCGTACAAATGCATCAGCATCTGATGTCTCTCTGTCACTTTGAAAAAGTGTTTCATCGCCGACCAAATATAATCAATCGAATATGGAGCTTTCACCAATCCATCGATATCGTCGAACACATATTTGCAAGCTCTGTGCGCTATCCAAAATGCTGTAAGTTTTTTTATTTATTCCTTCTTTCTTTAACCAAAAAAAAAAAAATTTTTGTACTCTCCTGTTTAATAATTAAATTCCCATTTCTTAGAATTGAATCAAATTCCCTCCAGAATTAAAAAAATCGAATTTAATAGAATTCCGCCCAGAATTAAGAAAAAGTTGAATTTTATGAATTTAATAAATAATGAAATATGTAAATTAAAGGAGGAAAGATAATTAAAAAAGAAATGGAAAATGAAGTAAATGTTGAACATTAAACATTTTTAAATTTCTATCAATTGAGCTTAAAAGCGATGATCTTGAACTAATTTCTCTCGCAGAGCGTTCAAGTAATGTGGAGCGAAAATATAATTACCTCCACCCTCATCCCCCATCATGTGACCCCATCCACCGCAACCGTGAGTTGAACCGTCTGAGTTAATTAAAAGTGCATTGCTTCCTGTCCCGGCTATCAACACCACTCCACCATCTGACAAGCCAGTTTTTATACTTCCCAAGGTATCGGAACCGACAAAATAAGCACTTGATGCGTTTGGATATCCTTTTAATAGCGTTTCACTTAACGCCTTATTTGTTTCTTCCTCCTCACAACCACTCAATGTTAAACCCTAGAATAATTTATTGTCTTTCAATAAAATTTCCCTTCATTTTTTTTTATTCCATTTTAATCACTAAAGAACTTTCTTACTTATTATTATTTTTACGTAATATAATTTAATTTTTTAAATATTTTATTTCTCTTAGTTCTTTTTCTGGAATAGAGAATATTTTTATTTTGTTTACTGAAAGAAAAATTAAAAAAAAATGTTTCTGTTTGCAGAAAAAAAAATTACCACACATTCGAAGGGGACAGTTTCTGGTAAATGAAGTTCTTCCTTGGCTTTGTCAATCATACCACTGATTCTTGCAGCTGTTTCTTGCACGCCGAGTGCCTAATGGAAAAATTGAAAAGGGAATTATTAAAGCAACGATTCTGATTGAATCGTCTTCTATTCGAGGACCCTTTATGCAAGCAACGATTTAAATTTAATGACCGAGTTCCTGCCAATCTTGAAAATCATTTCTACCTTAAAAAGAGGTGAGTGCTAAAAATATGCATGCATTTCAACGATAAGCCAGAATAAGTAATTTTAGTCAACTCTTTTTTTCAAAATTATTCCACTTTCCTTTTTTGAAGCAATTTCAAAAATTTTTCCTTTGACTTTTAATTAGTTCAATTAGTAATTTTGCCCATCTATTTAAATTGATAATTTCAATCCTTAATTTCGATCATTAATTTCAATTATTAATTTTAACAATTTAATTTAATTGAGAATTTCAAGTATTAATTTCAATTATTAATTTTAACAATTTAATTTAATTGAGAATTTCAAGTATTAATTTGAATGATTAATTTTACCAATTTAATTTCTTAATTGAGAATTTCAAGTATTAATTTCAATTATTAATTTTACCAATTAATTCTTTTTTAATTGATAATTTCGAATATTAATTTTACCAATCTTTTTCTAATTCACAATTTGAATCATTAATTTTACCAATTTATTTTTTTTATTGATAAATAATCTTCAATTATTAATTCTACCAATTTATTTTTTTTAATGATAATTTCGATTATTAAATTTTTTTTAATTGGCCATTTCAAATTATTAATTCTACTGATTTTTTGAATTGATAATTTCAATTTTGAATTCAAATAACGAATTGAACTAAATTATTCACCGTTTTAAATACATAATTAATTTTCAAAATTGCAATTAATTGTCAAATTCATCTATTAATTGCTCTTATTAATTGAATAATTTAATTTTTAATTTCAAATCGAATTTCCATAATAATTGAAATTATTTACTATCTTTGCAATTATTAAATTTAATGATTGAAATGAAAGATTATTGAATACTTGGCAAAAAATTATAATGCACTTGAAAAAGGTCTCGAGGCTGAATCAATCAGAGACACGATTAATATTATAAATTAAAACGTTTGGATGCATTATTTCATAAACTTACCCAATGATTTGTACCGGGTCCCTTAATTTCCGTCAATTTATTGCCCTCACCGTCAATTACGATTAATGTCGAATGAGTGGCTCCACTGAATTTCAAAAATGATTAAAATTTAAAAAAATGCAAAATTTTCAAAATATGTAGATTCGAATTATTTTGAACTAATTGAATTAACATTTTTACCCCTCGATTCCTCCTAAACAAATTTCTTTTGCTGGCTTTAATGAAAGATCAACAGTATCAATTGATGAATTTATTTTGTCGTTCTCAATTTTTTTATTGGCTTTCTCCTGATTTCTCAATTCTTTTCTTAATTGATTCTCATCGACTTGTGTCTTCATTTCCTTCCCTGCTTTTTTGACTTTGCCTGACATTTTTTCTCCTTGCTTCTATAAAATAAACACAGAAGCAAAATTTTTCTTTAAAGTAAATTTAAATTTAAATTTAAACCCGTATTGTTTGGATAAAAATTTGCAAATTAGATTAAATTCCGCTTATAAACATAGATAACAATGCGGGAGATCAGATTTTTTTTTGAATTTGAATTAACAAGAAAGTATTATTATCCTCATTTGCAAATCGTATTTAAAGATATCGAGAGATTAATTATTATCGATTTTTAACGCTAATTAGTTGAGAAATTGTTAATTTAATCTCAATTTGTATGTTAATTAATATTAATTATTAATTATAAATTATAACAGGAAATTGTAAAAATTTTATTAGTGAAAGACAATTATTTTTTCCAAAAATATGTTTCTATTAAAAAATTATTTATTCTTTGCTAGTAGGATTTTTAAAATCAAAAAGAGAATTGGATTTTTAAAATCAAAAAGGGAATTATAAATTTATTAAAAATGATAGTAGAAATGCAATTTTTGAGAAAATATTGATGGATATTGAAGGAGAGAAATTATGCGAATGATGAAATAATAAAAAATTATCACTTGAAAAATACTCTTCGTAAAAATAATAAGCACCGATGTATCACAGCTCAAACTGACAACACAAGAGACAATGTAGACATTTCTGTTTCAAGTTTGAAACGATAACGTGGTTTATAGTTGAGAAGAATCGACAGTAAAAGAGTGGGAAAAACGGTTTAATGACGTAGTCGACCAACTAATCTCTGTTGAGAGCATTGAGAGTAAAACGGTATCGTTGAGTTAAAATGAAAACTCCATCACATACCAAAATTAATTATACAAGAAGCACGAGTCAAGTGGTATAATAATTATCATCTTGAAATATTTTCTTTTTTCCTATACTAAAACAAAAGTTTTCCATTTTTTAAACAAGGCATTTTTATTTAGTTTTTCTTTCTTTTATTTAAATTAATATTATATTTTTAAAGAAGGTATTTTGAAAGTACTATAAGAAAAACATTTTTGGTTAATTAAACAATATGAAATAATATGAAAATTATATCAATATTAAGTTGAAAATGTCAATATGTCAATTTTACTTTTTGAGGTTAGAAAAACATAAACAATTCGTTGTGTCTCTTTTCTTTATAATATGCGATTATTTTTTATTGATTTTTATTTACCTTCTTCAATTTACTGTAATCCAATTATTAAATAATTACTTTTTAACTTTTTTGATTATTGTTCTAAACATTGTGTGATAGGAGAAACTGACAGAAAGATAAAAACACGAGTTCCTGTCAACATAACCTAAAAATACGAAAGATCTTTTATATTTTTATGTAAATATAAAAAAAAGAGTATTATTTAAATTAAAAAAATTAGTTTTTTAAAAGCGATTGTTTGAAAAAATTATCAAGAATGAAAAATTAAAAACGCGAAAATCGAAATTTCGAAATAAAGTCTACTTTGTTCGGTGGCGCCACCTGTCGGCGATTAAGTCAAGTTCATAGTCGCGAAAGCAAGAAGTCGCGTTTAGTTCTCATTGTTTCAGTCAGTCTCAGTCAATTTTGGCCCGTTGGCCGCACTCTCGACGATGAGGTGCTGAGAGGAGTCTCTTCGTTTCATATTTGCTATCGGCCATTGTCTTCTGACATGGAAACCTATCAAAATGGCAGAAGTCATGCAGATGTTTTTGTTCCTATTTAAGTCGAAATATCGTCGGAAAAGTTTGTTACGCAATTATAAAGGGAACAATGTTTTATCCTGCGCATTATTGTGGCTAGTGATAATTTGGGCGTCGGTGTTACATTGTGCCGTTAATGCAACATCAACGTCAGATTCGCCCTGTGACCTCGACAGTTGTGTCAACGGGGCCTGTGTCAATGGCAGCTGCATCTGCCATGAGGGTTGGCAAGGACCGGCCTGTCAATATTGCGGTGGCAAAGTCAGGTAAAAGACATTTTTTTTAAAAACAAAGAAAAAAAAGACACTGTGTATACATTCTTGACTTTTCAAAACAAAAGCAGTTGTTTTTTCTACTTACCCCCAAAATATTATTTCGTTACTCTGTCTGTTGTTTGGATGTAAAAAAAACTCCTTATAGATCGAATTTGGAAAGTTGCTCCGAATGGTCCAAGTCGACAATCGGTAAAGGAAAGATCGGCTCTCAAGTGCTGACCTCCACTTGATCCACAAAATGGAACGAAAATCCTGTTAGTTAAAGAGTTACTTCCTAACGAAAAAAAAAGAAAAAAAAATGGTAACCATAACCTCTTTGATCGTCAATTCAAATATTGATTCAAATTTCTTGTTGAAAAGGAAATTTTCTTATTTAATAAGGTTATATTTCCGAATTTTGTATTTAAAATCCTATTCTTTTGACAGATTCATTGAGAAATAGATTTATGGTTGTTTTATATACACGTTTTCCGACTTTCTTCCTCGGGGTTTTTATCCGACAAAAATTACCATTTTTTCGCTGTTGTTGTTTGAAGTTTTTTATTGTTCATAAATTCTCATCGAAGGCGTTATAAATCAGATTTATTACCCTCTGAATAAAGGATTGAAAATAATTATTTTCACGTCAAGTTTCCTCTCGTGATTTCTGGTTTATTTTTTACGAATAACAAAATTGAAAATTGTTTCATTTGCATTTTTCTAATTCGAAACATTTTATATCTAAGTCAAGTAATGAGACTTTTTTTCCAAAGGCAAAAATTGTATAGTATTTATTTTTGAATTAAAAAGAATAAAGAGATATGTTGAGCAATTTTTCAAAGTGAAAAAAATGACCTCTCTCACAAATGATGTCTTGCTTTTAATGATCGATTTAGAATGTATCCCGTGTCTTGTGTCAAGTTCAGCGAGGTATCGCGTTTTCTTTTTAGGTCGTTGTACGACGAACATCGTATCCTCGGCATGTAATAAATGTATTCTCGACGCCTGTGAGACAAGCATTGAATAAACGATGCGATTGCTCCTTCGAAAAAACTTAGCAGCATCTTTAATTTATTTAGTTGTAAAAAAGAAACAATATTACTTGACAAATATTTAGGAATATTTTTCAAATTTTTTTTAAGTGACAGTATTGAAGTTTATTATTATAAGTGAAGTCGAGACGATGCGGACCCCGATTAGTGGATAGGTCTGTTTATTGAATCAAAGTCGATTACTTTCACAAACTAGCAAGTGCTAACAAAGTCTGGCCAATTAACTCGAACTGCCAATTTAACGGAAATTGAATTTTAAAATAGAAAAAAATTATAATTAACCATTTTTTCGAATAACGAAAATTTGATTTTTCTTTTTCAGACGCAGTAATGATATAACAATGAATTAATAATTAATTAACAATGAATCAATAATTAATTAACAATGAACCAATAATGAATTAACAATGAATCAATAATGAATTAACAGTCAGGGTTGCTACAAGTCAGGGAATTCAGGGAAAAGTCAGGAAAATTAGAATTTGTCAGGGAAAAGTCAGGGATTTTTGTTAAAAGTAATGGAAAAAATTAAATCTTTAGAATTTATAAGAAAATTCTGAATTATTGTGTCTTTTTTGTTTGTCTCATAAACTATGAAATTAACAAGAATAAACTCAATTATGTTCAGAAATTTTTTTAAATTCTCGTCAAAATTTCAATTATCTTTACAAATAATAGAATTCTTCTCCAAAATTTAATTATTTTCAAAAAATTTAATAAAATTCTTGTCAAAATTTCAATTATTTTCAAAAATTTCCCTCATTTCAATTATTTTTAACATCTATTTTAATAAAATTTCCAAAAGATTTCTATTATTTAAACAAAATTTTAATAAAAATTTAACAGCAATTCAATTACTTACCAATTTTTTTTTTATAAATTTCTTCGTATCAATTCAATTATTTAAAATTTTTTTAATGAAGTTTTTTGAAAGAATTCAAATATATAAAGAGAATTGAAAATAATAGTCTGAAAAATTCAATTATTTTGAAAAATTTGAATAAAATTCTTTTAAAAATTCTATTATTTTAAAAACTGTTGACAAAATTGACAAGAAAAATTCTTTACAAGATTTAGTTCATAAAATTGAAATTATAATAAAATTTTCCTATACAATTCAATTATTTTCACAAATAATACATTTTGGAATTATGGGAATTCAATTATTTAAAAAAAATTGAATAAAATTGTTCGTTAGAAATCAAATATTTTCTTTCTTGAGAATTCAATTATTTTTAAAAATTTTGATAAAATGCTTTATAAATTTGAAAAATTATAATAAAATCGGTCATAGAATACAATTATTTTCGTAAAATACAACATTCTTTCTAGAAATACAATTATTGTCAAAAATGTTTGTAAAACTCCTTGAAACAATTCAATTATTTTCGTAAAAAATAAAATTCTTCTAAACAATTCAATTATTTAAGAAATTTTAATAAAATTCTTCCCGAGAATTCAATTATTTTCAAAATTTCCAATAAAATTCTTTAAAAGAATCCAATTATTTTGAAAAATTTAAATAAAATTCTTTAGAAAAATTCAATTACTTTCAATACATTTTTAATTACATTTCTTGAAAGAATTTAATGATTTTTAAAAATTTTAATGAAATTCTTGTTAAGAATTAAATTATTTTCATAAAAAGTAAAATTCTTCCTTGGAACTCAATTATTTTTAATACAATTTCGATAAAATTGCTCGAGAAAATTCAATTAGTTCCAATTTAAATAAAATTCGTCACAAGAATATTGAATTATTTTCATAAGTTTTAAAATTCTTTTGAAGAATTCAATTATTTGAAATACAATTTTAATAAAATTTCTCTAAAAATTCAATTATTTTCAAAAATCTTAAAAATATTCTTCACAAGATTTCAATTATTTTCAATTATTAATTTAATTAAATTCCTGGAAAGAGTTTCATTATTATTAAAAATTTTAATGAAATTCTTCTCAAGATTTCAATTATTTTCACAAAATATAAAATTCATCCTTGGAGTTCAATTATTTTAAATACAATTTTAATAAAATGTCTCTAAAAATTCAATTATTTTCCAAATTTTCAATAAAATTCTTTAAAAGAAGTAAATTATTTTCAAAAATTTAAATAAATTTCTTTGGCAGATTTCAATTATTCTCAATTTTTTAATGAAATTTCTAGATGTAATTTAATTATTTTTAAAAAGTTTTAAAGAATTCTGAAAAATTCAATTATTTAAAAAAATTTGAATAAAATTCTTCACAAGAAATTAATTATTTTCATAAATAATCATATTTTTCACTGGAATTCAATTATTTTCACAAATAAAATTCTTCACAGGAATTCAATTCTTTAAAAAAATTTTTTAATAAAATTCGTTGCAAGAATTCAATTATTTTCATAAATATCAAAACTTATCGCAGAATTTCAATTATTTTTATAACATTTTAAGTAAAGTGATAGAAAATTCCATTTATTCCTTTAAAATTTTACATAATAATTGAATATTAAAAACATTATAGCGTGAATTTTTATAAATAAAAATTGAATTTTAAGAAGGGATAAAATTAAAATTTTTGAAAATTTGAATTTTGAGTTACAATTATTTTTATGATATAAAATAATAATTTTATTACTCTGTCATTTTTAAATTTATTACAATATTCTCATAAGTTATTGAATTTGAGAATCTTAATTCTTATAGAAGAATAATAATTATTAAATATTTATTTAAAGAAGAAGTTATTAATGTTCTTGAGGGTCAGGGAAAAAGTGAAAATTTTGTCTGGAAATGAGGGAAAAGTCAGGGAAAAACAAAATTAAAATTTTGCGTCAACCCTTACAGTGAATCAATAATGAATTAACAATAAATCAATAATGAATTAACAATGAATCAAAAATAAATTAACAATGAATCAATGAAAAAAAAAATAATCCAGCAGTGAAAACTATGATTATGATTTAAGAGAAAAGTTTATTGCTCGCTGAGATGAATCAACGATAAAGCGAAAGAATTTTTATTCGCGAAACGTCGAGTGGTTGCGTCTTGTGCGAAGAATCAGAGAATATTAATGGGATTTAAAGTTGAAAGCAATTTTTTAACATTCATGATGATAATTGACTATTTTAAATGTTTATTAACGGTTTTTATACTCGTATAATATAGCAAGGAGAGAGAGAGAGAAAAAAAAACAAACCAGAATTGAATTTTTTTTTTTAATTGAACTCGTGCGGTGGGCAATATTTCGCTCTATTTGTCGAATGTACTTTTTATGTTATGAGTTTTCCACAATCTTGTTTATTTTATGGTCTCTCTCCTATATTTTTGTCGACCCGTCTGTGAAAATGGATTGTGTGTCGGACAAAATGACAAAAGCTCATATGGTTCCCGTTGCAGTGAAAAGAAATTTACGAGATTATTAAAAAAAATAAAAACAAAAAAAAATGAATAAATAATAATGCGTCAAGAGCTGATATTTTATTTGTGTGTTAAAAAAATTGATTTTGATTATTATTTTTATTATCAAATGGTGGTATTAAAAAAAAAAATGCTAAAAGTGCTAAAATGCAGAAAATATGAAAAATATTGAAAAATTGAAATATGCAAAAAATGCAAAAACAAAAAAATGCAAAAAAGCAAAAATACAAAAAGGGAGAAAAATTGAAAAATCAAAAAATTGCTTAAAAGGATAATTAATATTAAAATACTGTTTCTATTAAAAACTGTAATTAATTATTGTTTGAAAGTAACACACGTTTGCACTGATTACGCAAATAATTAGTATTTCAACAGAGAAAGAGGAGACCTTCGAGACAGACTTCGATATTTTCTTTTGTTTTATAAAAAGCGTTTATGAATCATTTAAAATCATTTAACTGCAAAATCAGATTTTCTTTTTATTTATTTAATAGTAAATAGAAATAAAAAGAAATAAAAATTTAAAGTAATATTTTGCTTAGGTTTATTATAAAGAAAAGCAAAATAATTTCTGCGTGAGAATTAAAATTTTTCTTTTTGATTTAAATTTTATAATTAAAGATTTTATAAGATTACAAATGAGAATTAAAGTAGACAATAGCTTATGCAGTTTATATCTCAGAAATATAATGTATCACAGTTGATATACTTTCTAAAGGTAGGAAGTTCGCTAGAGTTAGCGTATAACGGGTGAACTTGAAACCATAAAAATGAACTGCCAACCATTGTTCTGAAAACTATATTTTTTATTGTCCAGGCCAACAAAATAATTTATTAAA